ATATATAGACCAGGAACGCCCAACTCAGATATACGCCTCCCCACCCACCTACCTTGTACAATTAATATTAAACTGAAAAAACTTTTAAATAAACAGGCGGAGTCAACAAAAAAAAGTGTGATTAGTGTGGTTCCACTTCAAAACTATTTTTTCATGAAATTCTAATGTATGGTATTTTTCCTGTCTGTTTAAGAAATTTTATCATTTATTGTAACAATATTGCCCCAAAAAAAATCCGAGAAACATTTTTTCGTCAAAATAAACAGAGCCAAAAAACAAAAATCCTAAAATTTCAGAACATTTTTAAATACCTAAAACTTTGAATTCTAGTGCTGGATACAGGGTTATAATATTTCCTATCCATGAATGTACTCCGGGTATACAAGAACAGTGCTAGGTTGAAATACTGTGGTATACTGGTACACTAGAGAATTCCTCTGGGAGAGGGTTATAATAATATATGCATCAAATATATCAACACTAGACACTACAAGTAAATATATATTATCAAAAAGAAAATAGAACTTTTTCGTTCCATCTCGGGTTTTTAGGTAAAATAAAAAAAAGTAAACATGGTTAACCCCACGTTTCTCCCTTTCAAATAATTGTTGAATCTTATTCTCTTAATGAATATGTTCTACTTTATTTTAATTGTAAAGAAATATTAAATCATTGGGTTGTTGAATGCTTATTGGAGTATTATTTAAGTTTTAAATTAAATAAACAATCTCTTTGAACTAAAAGGGGATGTTGGGTTTCTAATAAATTAAATGCAACCTGTACATACATAAAGTACATTGCTGAATTTGCTTACATTTAAATGTTTTGTTGTTAATAAAGACTGAAACCATATTTTTTATTTCTCTAATCTCTTAATTGTCTTCATCTTAATTTTCGTATCACTTAATTCTCTCATTTCCTAATTCTCTTATATCTTGATTCTTTTCTTTCATAATTCGCGTATCGCTTAATTCTCTTATCTCTTCATTCTTTTCTTTCTAAATTCTTGTATCTCTAAATTCTCGCATCTCTTCATTCTTTTCTTTCTTAATTCGCGTATCGCTTAATTCTCGTATCTCCTAATTCTCTTATCTCTTCATTCTCTGATCTCAATGTTAAATATGATAAAACCTACATTTTAAGGCAGATCTCAGGACAACATGGTTCAGGACCATTATGGATCATTGGATCAGTAACAACGCTACTCTGATGAGTAAATGTCAAGCTTCGAGACTTCTCACCTAAAATGAAAAGAAAGAGTTGAGTCTTGATAGGGTTGGTTCGAAGTAAATATGGAATAAAACTAGAAGTTGAACCAGAGCTAGACATGAATCCTTAAAAGTAAATTATCCTTGAGGACAAGAATATAGAAAACTCCCCAGAGATGAAGGTTTGGATAAGACGAGTTAAATGACTCCAAGTACCCTGTAAGACTTGTAATTTTACATAAAAATTCAATCTTTTCAGAATACATGAAAAAACACACCATGGGATACCGTGGTACATGCAAACCAGAAGACAGATAATTTACTCACATTATAAGTACATTATACATACATTAGAATACAGTGTTTACACACCAGAATACATTATAAATACACCAGAACACGGTTGCTTAACACCAGAAATTAAAAATGCACCAGAACGCGTTTGATTCATACCAAAATACGTTATAAATACAACAGAACACGGCTGATTCACACTACTATAAATACACCAGAACAATACTGCTACACACTAAAAGACTACATAATATATACACCAGAATACAAAACAAATGATGTATTTGAACTCACATAAAACGTTGATATCCCGTTCTGACATTGATCTGATATTGAGTTCTGCTTCCACTAAACTACCCTCACCATCATCCTCTTCTCCTAGATACAGAATACTGTAAATATTTACTTTCTAAGAGGAGAGAAAAAGAAAGGGGAAGGAAAAACTTTGTTCGTTCCACTTTCCAGTTCAACATTTTAAAAAGAAATCCTCTAGACCAAAAGCCTGAATTGAAGTTTTTTATTTTTTTTTATTTTCCTTGTTTTCAAAACTGTATTATGTTAAGGTTTGCTTTTATTAAACCTAGCGATATTTTTATCTCAAAAAAAGGATAAACCATCAAAAAACGATTGGCACAACAGGTTCGTTTTTGCAACGTTTTTGCATCATTTTTTGCATATATCCTCGGTCAGTAGTGTTAAAAAAAATGTTTAATATAAAAATTGGAAAAATTCTTACTATTTCAAATTTTGACCATAAATAAAAACATAGACAAAAAACGACAAAAAAACGAACCAACTGAAGGCACATCACTACTTATAGAATAAAAAAAGAATGAAATATATGAAAGTAGTTTTCTATAATTTTTGATTGAGTAAAATAAATGTTTGAAGAAAGTTGAACAAAGAACTGAATCGATTTCAGGAAGGATTAGACTTAAATAAAGGTTGGAAAAATTATAGAGGATAGGAAGGGAGATATGGGGTATGAAGTGGAGGGAGTGATACTAGGGAGGGAGGAATAGGAAAAAGGAAGGGGGAAATAGGTTGGAAGGAGGCGGGATATGAGGAGTAGGTGAAAAGGGTTGTATGAGAAACAATGATAAAGGGAGGGAGGAGTTGGTGTGAAGGATGTGGGGTATAAGGAGTAGGGGAGATGGGGTGCATTATGAGTAGGGAAAGGGAGGGCTGCGTCAAGGGTAAGAAAGCGCACTTTCACAGTCCTCCCTGAGGAGAAGGAAGAAGGAGTGTTTGAGAAATAGGGGAAGGGAGGGAGAAGTGGGGAAGGAAATAGTGGGGTACACGGAGTAATAAGGGGGTTATGAGCAGTATGGGGGGGGGCATGAGGAAAAAAGGAGAGAGAAGAAAAAAAGCGGGTTTGAGTGGTAAGAGGGGGTGGTTGAGTTTCCTGAATCCTACATATTTTCAATAAGAAGAGTAAGCTGAATACCGAACAATGTCCACTGACCCGGGATTAACAAGAAATTCTATTGAAAATTTAACCAAATGGTGGAGAAAATATTGAAAATAAAAATCAAACCCAGAATTCCAAGATTATCTAAGAAAACGGCATAGCATAAAAACGTAAAATCATCAAGGTTTGTGAGATAAATTTGTTTTCTCTGGAAAAATAAGAATTAGGTGATTTTATATCGTAATTATTTTATTTTTATATATTTTTTGTTCACCTGGTTCTTTGAAGTTCCTGTAACCATCAATTTCTGGCAGATTTCCTGTTTTTAACTCTTCATCCTGTACAATAGGTAAACTTACATAAACATTACCATTTGTGTACGTGTACATAAATATTTACACTTTATGTAATTTTAAATAAACATACATCTACATGTACATGATAGGAACACCACATTACAACAATCTTTTTTGTATTTGTTATTGTTATAAAGCAAATAATTTTTTTGGTTGGAAAACCAGCTTAAATCGAATGGTTCTGTGTAAATTGCACAATTGATGTTTTTCATATTCATGAAACTATTTAAAATCATAACTTCAGTCTAACAATAGTTTACTTATTTATTATTTTTACTTATTTATACTTATTTACTTACGTATAGTTTTACGGGTCTCTCTGTACAGTGTACATAAAGTTTACATTGTATCAATATTGTACAATATAGATACACTGTACATAAAGTTTACATTATATCAATATTGTACTACATAGATACATTGTACAATGTACATAAAGTTTATAATGTATCAACATTGCACAATGTAGATACATTGTACATAAAGTTTATATTGTATCAATATTGTACAATATAGATACATTGTACAATGTACATAAAGTTTACATTATATCAATATTGTACATTATAGATTCACTGTACAATGTACATAAAGTTTACATTGTATCAACATTGTACAATGTAGATACATTTTACAATGTACATAAATTTTACATTGTATCAATATTGTACAATATAGATACATTGTACAATGTACATAAAGTTTACATTGTATCAATATTGCACAATATAGATACATTGTACAATGTACATGAAGTTTACATTGTACAATGTACTTGAAGTTTACATTATATCAATATTGTACAATATAGATACATTGTACAATGTACATAAAGTTTATATTGTATCAATATTGTACAATGTAGATACAATGTACAATGTACATAAAGTTTATATTGTATCAACATTGTACAATGTAGATACAATGTACAATGAAGATACAGTGTACACATTTATTAAATTGATAGTCGTTTTAACCCTTCAACTTTCTGACACAGCAAAATCTAGATGTCATACAATTTCTCTTAACCCTAAACAGGCTGGGGGGGGGAGGCGTTTGGCCCCCCCCCCCTGTAGTTTTTTTGTCCTAGCTTTCTCATGTACAAGGCGGAAAATAGTCCAGTCTGTGAAAAAAATCTAAAATAGCCCATAACTTTTGTGACTAAAGCTACAGATCTAAAAACTATTTTTTTAAAAAGCCCTTGAAAAATGCATGTAGAAACCTGTGTTAAAAAAAAATATTTTTTTTCTTTTTTTGACCTTTTTTCCACCCTCAATATATTAAAGTTATCGGTCTAATTTTTTTCTTTGAGCTCGCCATGAAAAATTGGGCTATGATGAACATGCATTTCAACCCTATACCTATTCTCTAAGGCCTTTTTCTAGGGGGAGGGGCGCCAAACGCCCCCCCCCCCACAGGCTATACATAGATTCAGACCCCCCAGCCTGTATAGGGTTAAAAGAGGACACGGCGGGGAGGGAAGGGGGGGTCCGGGTACCCTTCCCGGGCAGAGAAGTTGATATAAGGTATTTGAAACCAGATACTCATTACTCTCTAGTAGATAAATATAATGAAAATAAAACATCAATTAATTCTAACTTTAAATCATCTCTATATTTAGATAAGCCTCATTACAAAACAAGTTTACAAATTACGGTTTTTTTTTGGTAAAAAGCAACATCACCAACTAATGTGGCATCTTTATCTTTTACAACAGATTTAATTTTTTAAAATAAATTTTAAAATAAAAATTCTGATTGTGTAAACAGTGTTAGTCCGACATTTTATGTGCCCTTGGATAAATATCTTAGCTAAGTTTGAATAACTTTATATGTTTACTAACTTATTGTATTGCAGATCTTTCAGAATTTACCTTGTTTGCAAGTTCAGGTTCAGAAGAAAACTTGATTCCGTTCTGAGAAAGAAGAGAACCATTGGATGCAAATTTCGTCCCGCTCTCTAGGGAGGGTAGTCCGACCTAAACAATCTATTTATAGTAATCCGACCTATACTTCAGGGATGATAGTCCGACCCAACAAATATATAGACCAGGAACGCCCAACTCAGATATACGCAAATTGTGTACTGTACACTGTGGGAGGAATGTAAACAAATCCAGTGCCCCCACAGCAGTTGAAGAGAAAGGATTAAACACTGATAAACAGAGTGATGTTACAGTCAAAAACAAAAGAAACTAGTTAATATATTAAGTTAGTGCGGATGCAAATTAATTATTTAAATATGATTTTTGGATTTCAGATCAATATGGAAAATTTATTCGTGCTCAGTGAGATTTGTTCAACTATAAAGGAGAAGCAAGGTAAAAAGATTCCCACTTATCCTTGTTTCCGAGGTTTAACTTTCTTTTAAGATTTAAACCTTTCCTCTCTATGTTTACATCCTTCCTCCCAAGGTTTACATCCTTCCTCCCAAGGTTTACATCCTTCCTCCCAAGGTTTAACCTCTTCCTGCCGATGTTTGTATCCTTCCTCCCAAGTTTTACATCCTTCCTCCCAAGGTTTAAACCATTCCTGCCGATGTTTGTATCCTTCCTCCCAAGGTTTAATATGTTTTGCCCCTGAATTCTTTGTTTTGATCGCCTCCCACTGCAGTACACAAATTTGACGCATTAGATATGGCGGTTCCTGGTCTATATATTTCTTGGTCCGACCTAAACAATTTATAGTAATCCATCCTTTTCTATAATCCAGGGAGGGTAGTCCGACAACCGACCTATGCAATCTATATATTAATCTGTCCTACTCTCCAGGAAGGGTATTTCGACCATTTCAATCTATAGTAATCCGTCCTACTCTCCAGGGAGGGTAGTCCGACCTATAGGTAGTCCGACCTATAAAATCTATAAGAATTCTTCCCACTAACTAGATAGGATTCCGACCATTACCATTTATGTTAAATTAATTATCATTTTAAAAAGTTAGCGGTGACAATTGTACTTCTATCTTTATCATTATTCCAAAGTTTGAATCAAGTTTAAGAATTCCTTGGCGACCTAGAGATATCTCTGGAATAAAGTTTTCAGACGTCATTCAAAGCTTTATCATTTCCGCCCTCGGTATATTCAGAAACTTATCTAAGCCAATAATACAGTTAGAATCAAATATCCAGATATAAATCCTTAACAGGGGAGTAAAGAATAATGGAAACGCTGAGTTCCTTTCTTAAAGGGATTGTAGTTTTAATTTTAAGTGAAACTCTAAATACCCAACGTAAATGTATTAACTCTACACTTAAAAAGCTGTTTGTCAGTAGTTTTCTATCTTGATAAGTTTTACTGTATCTGTAGTATAGAATACAATCTGAGCTGAAAACTATAGAATGGTGGATATCGAGATTAATGGGTGATCCTCTCTTTTTCATAATATCGAGACTAATCTAATCTTGTACTTGTATCCTGAAAAGTGTATAAAATTCAACCAATCAGAGTCGCGTATATGAAGCCGATAAATTTGAAATTTTACGCGCCATTTAAGATTTATATACAGAAACGGGAGGGCTCTCTAATTTTGAAAAACCGGTTTTTAATTTTTCTCTACTATATCCAAGAAAGAACGGTTTAAGAAAAAAATCAAAAGTGTGTCCATTGGATACTCAGATTAAGTGATCGGGATTAAGGATATCTCATTCTAAAGTTGTCAGCTCTGATCACTTTTATGGAAACCATTTATCTGTGATCTGATAAATATTAAAAGAGTACTGTTGTGTATCGGACATACCAATCAATTTTTATATAAATGGAGGGTCTCTTGAAATTACATTTACATTCCCTTGGATGGGGGGGGGGGGGGGGGAGTCTAATATTTGTTTTCATATTTCACAGTTTTATGGGCATCACTTTATAGTTTACTAGCTTGGGAACCCAGCCCTGCCAAGGTTACTGAAAGTTACTTCCGCCGTTTAACCGCACTTGAACGGTTTTACCAGGAACATTCCCGTGGGCCTCCCGAGTTCCCAAATCAAAATTGAGTCAAATCGGTCCGTGGGTTTTTGAGTTATGATCAGACAAATAAACAGACAGACAAACAGAGATTACAACTAGGTATATATAGGTTAACTTACTTTAACTCTTAAAGCCGACTGTTTAGCTCTAATTTTGGCTTTGAACCGATCTAATTTCTCCGTAACCACAGATTTCTCCTCTGTTTGAACCTCCTAGAATTACAGAAGAGATTGAAAACTTTCTTTAAACTAACAAATATTCATTTAAACCGTGTCAACGACCAACCCTCATATTTTTATACGGGTTGTGTGTGTGAACACTGTACATTAAACGTACAGTACAGTACAGTACAGTACAGTACAGTACAGTACAGTACAGTACAGTACAGTACAGTACAGTACAGTACAGTACATTACATTACAGTACAGTACAGTACAGTACAGTACAGTACAGTACAGTACAGTACAGTATAGTAGATATATTGGTACAATCGAAAAATATTTATCGTCTCTGAAATTCTACAAAGAAAAAGAACACTCGCCACTAACTCTATCATTCTATTCCCCATATCTCTGCAACCTGATTATAAAATCATTTCATAATTCAAACTTGGATTAAATTATCTTTGAAATTTCTTGGTTTAAAATATCCAATGTCTCCATTATCAGGTTGCAATGATATTGGGAATACGGCGATTGTTCAGTTCCACAAGTTTCACTGATACTCCTCCTCTCCATTAGTGTTAGATTAAAAATGTCCTTAAATGTCATTAAATTAGAAGAGAAATGTCGATTTTTCTTTTTCTAATTCACTTAAAGAGTAATTTCACTCTCTAAGTTTCCTAAAATTACTTATTCTTTTCTCAAACAACAAGATTATAGTCGAAAATAACATTTTTTTGCAGATTTCTTTCTCATGCATTGCCTTTTTATTTTTAATTTCTGTTTCAAAACTTTTTTTCTAGGTCTAAAGTTTATAACTTAATGTGTTTTTTTTACAAATTATTTCTGTTTTCAAAGAATCCAATTCTTTTTTATTTCTCTTATTCCAAACCTTTTAATTCTTTTTCTTATTCTACTTAAAGATGTTATACCTCTTTCCTAGATTTAAGTTCCTCGCAATTGAAACTATTAAGGAGGAGAGCAAGGAAGAGGTTTAGAACCATAAAGTTACCCATAACAAGGGCAGGGAGGAATATTGCCAAGCAGGACTCAGGAGCACCCTAGATATAGCAGGGGTTTAAACACTGCCTGGAGACAAAATGAAAGTAAAAAATCTTGATATTTTATCAACGAATTAAAATACTAAGACCATAGATTAAATACAATAACAGATAGGACGCTAGATGTTGTCTTTTCGAGATTTAGTTGTTCGTTCATAATAACCCTGAGGCAGAATCCCCAAAGAAGTTACGGGCGGTCGGCGTAGAACAGGCTCTCTCTATGTAGAAAGCTAGAGAGCCCGTTCTATGACTAAGACTATTCTAAAACTAAGACTGTTCTATGACTAAGACTTTTTTATGACTAAGACAATTCTATGACTAAGACTGTTCTATAACTAAGACTGTTCTATGACTAAGACTGTTCTATGACTAAGACTGTTCTATGACTAAGACTATTCTATAACTAAGACTGTTCTATGACTAAGACTATTCTATTATAACTAGCTAGCATCTCTTATTAGAGAGCTATTGAGAAGAACAAAAATATTTTGAATTTGTAGTTTGTAACCAAGAAAAATAGCTTTCTCCAACTTGTGTGTAAAATCCAAAATCAGAGGAGGTGTGACGTCACCAAGTCGTACCAATAATGTTGTATAAATTTAACCTTCCCCTGTGGTCTAGTGGAGTGTGTAAAGGATGGAAATAATACAAAAACCATGAACTGACCAAGTTTTGAGTAATTTTGCGTACCCATTATTTTAAATAGATTAAAGGTGGCGTGAAGCCTAAGGAATTTTTATGAATTTATATATTTCCCCAAATATTTTGAATATAGTGGAAGAAGAAAACAAGGTTTTTGCACAACAAGTTTGCTTTAAATTAAAAAGAGAATTTGCATAATTAAGTAAAACAAACAATCCTAAACAACCTGAAATTGTTTAGAAGTTTGCCCTAACGGGACTAGAAAGCACCACTTGTTGACTTTTACATAGTTTTTATATTCGTTAAATTTTCATATTTTCATGATTTCTACTTCATACTTACAACTTTAGCTTCTACTCGCATACAATCCCACAGAGGTTCTATCCATTCTCCACACAGAATACGGAAAATCATCATAAAAGAATGAAAGAAATCCGTGAAATTCCATCTGAAATATTGTAATATTATGTACATTGCCCCTGATTTATTTCATGTACCGGGCCGAATTTTGACCAGTTAGAGCAAGGTGTACATTAAAAGTACAGACGGTATGCCAATGAATGATCCCCTTCTAGTGAAATTAATGTGTTGCTCATCGATAAAAATGTACAAAGTTACCCTCTAAGAATAAGTGGAGAACTATCTATAAACCCCACGTTTAAAGTCGAAATACAATTTTCGGTTAACCCCCTGTGCAAGTGTGCAGTAGGGAGAAATGATTTTCAATGGTTTGAGTGAAAAATGGAAAAATTGATATTATCAACAGGAAAGTTTTGCCCTATTTTATACCTGAACCAGTCATCGTAATTGTTAGTGACCCTCCATATTAAAAAAGGGCATGTCAGATTTACAACAGTACCCTTAAAACCTTAATCTGATTTGTGACGTTGTTTTTTCTGACTTAAAAGTGTTTAATTTTGATAATTATTCAATGCTTCTAAATAAAAAGAGATACTCAAGTACTTTTGTACAGAGAAACCACAAATGAAAATAGAGAGTTTTCAAAACCAAAAAATTAATATCTAATTCATACTTTTTCAGAAAATTTTTTTGTACCATGAACCTGACATGCCCACTCTATCAAAGGAGGCTCTTTGGTCTTTTTGTTTTTTGATCCCAAATTAAGTGAGATAAGGGAGTTTTGAGGAGCGAAAGTGGGGATTAATAAATACCCCTGTATACCTGGGAATGGGATCAGGAGCAAAGTTTTCAACACTATAATCCTTCCCAAAGAGCTGCATCCCTAGGACTGCGAAGATGTAGATGACGATTAGGAGGATGAAGGTCAGGTTTCCCAGGGCCCCCAGGGTAGAGATAATAATACTCAGGAGAACCTTCATTGTAGTCCAGGACTGCGCTAGCTTTAGAACTCTCATCTAAATAATAAACTCTTTTATCCTTTACTAGGCTTTTAGGGCGCTTCGCGCCCATCTTCTATTTAAATTGTGAACATGCTCTTTTTGTTTACATTTTTAAACAAACAAAAGAAGAAAAAAATTTTGCGGATTTTAAAAAAAATTCGCGGATTTTCAAGAATTGAATTTTTTTTTACAAAATTAAAAACCTTTAAAACAAATTTTTTTAAATTTTTATCATTCATAAACCTTCCTTGTGGTCACGTGATGTCCCACAAAAAATTTGGGCCCGATCGGTTCAGCCGTTTTGACGTTTATTGGATACAAACAGACAGACAAACAAACAGACAAGCCAAATTTATATATAGATTTATAAAGTAACGTGTTCGCTTTACAACGCAACACCGCCCTTTAAACTTTTATCTAAACAGCAATGGAAAAATATCGACGTTTTTCCTCCATAAAAAATCATAATTACTAATAATCCATTTTTATTGAAAAACGAGGATATCTTTTTCCTAAGACAAAGATTTAAAGGCTAACGTTGTGAGTCTGGCCTTCCCTTCTTTAACGGAATGTCTCTTGAAATTAAGTTAAGAAAATATCATCTATAAAAATAAAACTTTCATTTTTTTTATATAGGATGTAAAAATGAAGAATAAGAGTATAACTTGGAACTATTTATGGCGAAAGTGAAACTCAATATTTTATACGTAAATTGATGCAAAAACTAAACTTAAAAATAGGAACTTAAACAAAAGAACTAATTACCAGCCACAAACTCTAGTTTTCTAATCCTCGTATCTTTGCAACCTTGATATTTATTCGATATCCGTTTGAAGCATCAAAGGTTTACACCAAAAGTTATAGCTTTCATAGATATAGGGATTCAAAATAAGAGTTTGTGGCAAGTGCTCAGTTCCTTTTTAGTTGAGAAATAATTAGTTGAGATTAAATATTTATAAATAAGCTAAAAATAAAAGTCTCGTGTTACACAATTCTTTTACATAATTCATGAACAATGTACGATGTACATTTATTTTTTTATGGTAAATACTGAATAAACATATATTTAGATAATAAAAAGGAATACAAAAGAAGTCTTATATATTTATTATTTTTGTATTTATTATGTGAATATGGAGGATGATTAGGTTAACAAAGGAAACTTTCTATCTCAATATTTTAAAACTTTTCCTTGTCGAACAATATTTATATTCCAAGATTTTTATTTTTATTTTTATTCTAAAAAGAATTTAATTTAACTTTTTTACGTTGTTTGTTGATAAGTGTGTTTTTGGTTAGTGTGTTTTTGGTTAGTGTGTTTGTTGTTGGTGTGTTTTTCGTTAGTGTGTTTGTTGGTTAGTTTGTTTGTTGGTTAGTGTGTTTGTTGATTGGTGTGTTTTTTGGTTAGTGTGTTTGTTGATTGGTGTGTTTTTGGTTAGTGTGTTTGTTGGTTACTGTGATTGTTGGTTAGTGTGTTTATTTATTGGTGTGTTTGTTGGTTAGTGTGTTTTTTGGTTATTTTGTTTGTTTGTTAGTGTGTTTGTTTGATTGGTGGGTTTTTGGTTAGTGTGTCTGTTGTTTAGTGTGGTTGTTGGTTAGTGTGTTTGTTGATTGGTGTGTTTGTTGGTTAGTATGTTTGTTGGTTAGTTTGTTTGTTTGTTAGTGTGGTTGTTGGCTAGTGTGGTTCTTGGTTAGTGTGTTTGTTGGTTAGTGTGTTTGGATCCAATAAACGTCAAAAAAATTTAGCCTAATCTTATTCATAAGATATTTTTAGGTATCACTAAAAAATTTGATTTTATTACTACTGAGTTATGCAACAAACTGATGAAATCTGAACTATTTTATCCAAAAGAAATCATTGTTGGATATATTTAAGGTCTACGACATTGGATTGCAGAGATGACGGGATTAGAAAATCAGAGTTTGTGGCAAAAATTCCTTTCTTGTGATTTTTTCCAAATATTTGAAGAATTCGAAAAAATTATTTGTGTTTTATAAAAAATTAAAATATACTAATTCTTGTGACTTTCCAGCCCAATATCCTTTGATATTTCAAACTAATTTTGACAGATCAAGTAAGCTAATTTTGAAATGTCCAAGGTTTTCACATCATGGTTGCAAAGAATAGGGATAAGAAAATTTGAGTTTCCAGCAAAACCTTAATTCCTCTGTAACGATTACCAATAAAATCAGGAAAACTCCATTGTTAAAAAAATTGTTGCAAAAGAAAGACAAATTGAGACAAAAAAGCGCCTTATGTGATTACACGACTGAGCATATTCACACCGTACATTTGAAATAAATTTTTTTCCCTGTTTGAATAATTTATTCAACCGGAAATTATTTCTGATTTCTCGCATGGAAGAAGAAAGATGGATGTTCAATATCGAAATGAAAAGATGGTAAGATATGGAATAAATTCTTGCTTAAATCTGGAAATAAAGTTGGAAAAATCTAGTTCATTTAAACAGATTTTAATATTATAATTCAATAAACATGTTTTCAATATTTTCAATTTGGCATGTAAACGATAAAATGCAAAACGACCGAGTAGGATTGAGGGAATGAGCTTACAGGGCGCTTCGTGCCCATTTTTCTGGTGATCAGCATTCATCAGCGGCGGAGTTTATAAAACACTAGGCTTTTAGGGTGCTTCGCGCCCATCTTAAATTGTGAACATGTTCTTTTTGTTTACATTTTAAAACAAAGTAGAAAAATAATTTGCGGATTTAAAAAAAAAAATTTGCGGATTTTCAAGAATTTAAATTTTTTACAAAATTAAAATTTTTATCATTCATAAACTTTTCCTGTGATCACGTGATGTCCCACAAAAAATTTGGGCCCGATCGGTTCAGCCGTTTAGACGTTTATTGGATACAAACAAACAGACAGACAAGCCTAACTTATATATAGAAGTAAAAACTAAATTATTTCAAGGACTACATTTATGTATTGACCGACCATAAAACAATAAGATTGGATCGGTTCAGTTTTCACGTTTATTTGACACAAACAGAAAAGACAACCCAAGCAGTGGCGACTAAAGGGGGGACGTCACTACTAAAGAATTTAAGGAGGGAGGAGGAGGGAAGCAGCATTTGGCTCCATTTATTTTAATTTATTTTCGTGCATATTTTTCCAATTATTTTGTAAACCGCCTCTGAAGCCATGAAAAGGAAAACAGACAACCCCAATATGTCTATAAAAAAAGCTTAAAGCACCCATTTAAAAAAAAGAAAGTATAGCGATTAAAAACAAAATTTGACAAATCTTTGTTTTTCTCATAAATAACCAAGAAATTTCTTTTGAAAAGCAAGTTCACTGTAATATATATATTTCAAAAAAATGTAAGATAGAAAAAGGCCCCTACGCCATAGTAAGTACTTGGTCTTTCTTTAAATTCTTAAATTCGAGATTTCCTCAACATATTTTGTAGAAGGGTTTAACGGTTTATTTCGTTGATCGATAGTCCCCGAAATACCGGGAATATGTTTAAATTTCGCCAATTACTCTTTTAAAAACTAAAGATGGAAAGATGTTAGATTTCAATATTTTCATCTTGGAAATAAGGTTTAATTCTTTCTACTGAGGTCCCAGGTCCCTGGGATATTGTTAGAATATTCTAATCTCAGTTTTATTCAACAAAATTCAGGATTCTTTCATTTTCATCTCTCTCCTGGGAGAACCAAAGGTTCTTAATGGCTTCATCTAAAAGGGTCTGATGACGTAATTTCTTGTAACTCTCCTAATGAAGAGTTACATGTCACATTCACAACGGTATCCCTTAAATATGTAGTCAGCGTATAAAAATATCTTGTAATTTTTCTTCCTCTTGTATACAGTAGACCAGATAATTCTGGACTAGGAAGACTACTTTTAGCCTCAAGTTATGACTTTGAACAATGAAATCATGCAGTGTTAACAGACCCATATCACTGAATAAGTGATTTATAAGTTTCATGTAAAACTGTTAACTATACAATCAAATAATGCGTTATTGTCATCTTCCTCCTCCAAAGTATTCTGGTTCTAACTTTTTAAATCCTTATGAGCCACTTTAAAAACGAAATCACAAAAGTTATTCATTCATTCTTCATAATTTAGATCTTAAAAAAAGGCCATTTAAAATTAAGTCTGCAGTCTCTTTCACAATCCTATGTTTTTTCGTTTAAAACCAATGAGTCATAACATTACGGGTTTCTTTTTTGTTGGATGGACTAACTAAATCTTTTTATATTTACAAAAAAAAAATTCTGAAATGGATAACGAATTTATTTTTTATTGCATGGATCAATTAAAACTATTTTTGTTGGATGGATTAACTCAATCTCTTATTGTAGGATGGATTAACTAAATCTATTTTTGTTGGATGGATCAACTAAATCTATTATTGTTGGATGGATCAACTAGATGTAATTTTGTTCGGTGGATCAACAAAATCAATTATTGTTGGATAGATAATCTAAATCTATTATTGTTGGATGGATTAACTAAATCTATTTTTGTTGGATGGATGAACTAAATCTTTTATTGTTGGATAGATAATCTAAATCTATTATTTAACTAGATCAACTAGATGTAATTTTGTTGGATGGATCAACTAGATGTAATTTTGTTGGATGGATCAACTAGATGTAATTTTGTTGGATGGATCAACTAGATGTATTTTTGTTGGATGGATCAACTGAATCTATTGTTGTTGGATGGATCTACTAAAAAAATCAAGAAGCAATTTATCCAAGCTGTTACTTCACAGAAATTTGCACACTTCTCTTTAACAATGTAAATATTTTAGAACATAAAATAAAACGGTTTTATGGGAGGAGGGGTTGTTTTTAAAAAGAGTGAAAAGGAAAATGACTATTATAGAAATGGAGGAAGATGTTTAAAAAAAAGTTTAAAGGAGGGTGGATGGCTCTGCTAAAACGGAGTGAAATGTAGGTTAGAAAGGGGGTGGGGCAACATAAAACTTTTTCATAAAGGGAGGGGAGGTTTTTAGCAACAGATGTTTAATACAGTATGCATCAAACTCTAAACTAGACTAAAGTTCAACTATTTCATTTTGATGTCACAAAAACTCTTGTTCATTTGACATACTGTACCGACTCATACAGGCAAATAGAGTAAGTAGTACTGTACCGACTCATATAGGCAGCTGTACCAACTCATTTAGGCAAATAGAGTAAGTAGTACAGTACCGACTCATATAGTCAGATAGAGCAAGTAGTACTGTACCGACTCATATAGGCAGATAGAGTAAGTAGTACTGTACCGACTCATATAGGCAGATAGAGCAAGTAGAACTGTACCGCCTCATATAGGCAAATAGAGCAAGTAGTACTGTACCGACTCATATAGGCAGATAAAGCAAGTAAAGTAGTACTGTACCAACTCATATAGGCAGATAGAATAAGTATTATTGAACCGACTCATATAGGCAGATAGAGCAAGTAGTATTGTACCGACTCATATAGGCAGATAGAGCAAGTATTATTGAACCGACTCATATAGGCAGATAGAGCAAGTAGTACTGTATCGACTCATATAGGCAGATGGAGCAACTAGAACTGTTCCGACTCATATAGGCAAATAGAGCAAGTAGTACTGTACCGACTCATATAGGCAGATAGAGCAAGTAGTGCTGTACCGACTCATATAGGCAGATAGAGTAAGTAGTACTGTACTGACTCATATAGGCAGATAGAGCAAGTAGTGCTGTACCGACTCAAATAGGCAGATAGAGCAAGTAGTACTGTACTGACTCATATAGGCAGATAGACCAAGTAGTGCTGTACCGACTCAAATAGACAGATAGAGCAAGTAGTACTGTACCGACTCATATAGGCAGATAGAGCAAGTCGTACTGTGCAGACTATCAACGGACAAAACGGACGGTACACCAAATCAATTACTTCGGCCCTTCAAGAGAGATTATTGTGATGCAGAGATTTGTTGAATTTTCTTCAACTATATTTGGATCACTTTCAGCAATGCAGTATGTGAGTTTGTTTTTGCTCTGTAAAATATTAACAATTACAAAAGTGCACACAAAGCAAAACTCCAAGTTTTTGCCGATAATATTGTGGCACAATCAGATTTGTACACTTCAAGGATAAGAATCTAAAATATATATATAGCTGTAGATCACTAGAATTGCATGTGATACATTTAGGAGCTGCCAAATCTTTAAAGAGAGGGATATAATAATACCTCAGGGTTTAGAACTAAAACATTCCCCAAATTATTCAAAATTTTCTGTTTCTGTTTACAAAATCTTAACGCAAATCGAAGTAAAAGTGACCCTTTTTGCAAAGATGGCATTGCCCGTACCCTTGAAACCATTAGCTAATAAATAATGTGGAAGATATTGTCGTATTTCTAGGTGTAAAAGTGTTTACTTCAAAAAATTACTATATTCCACTATTGTGGGAAACCATAGTTGAAAATAATCAGTGCAAATTGTAAACATTGATATCATATTTGACTAGGGAGGGACCGAATTTAATGAATTTAAAGTGCGAGCCTACCTCTAGTTCAAATTTAAATCACCGATTAAAATCCTTCTATTATCTTTAACCTTGAATCTGTGGTTAAAATTTGAACTGACATAGGTAGTTAAGGGACTTATTTATATTCGGATCCTGACAAAACTTTAAGGAAAACCGTTGTGAATCGGGCATTGCTATCTTTGCAGTACATGTAAGCGCAAATGCGCAGTGTACATGTAAACATAATTTATTATATATTGTATAAAATGTGTTTGTAGATTGGAAATGTTAAAAATGGAGGAAATCTGTCGATAAAATGAGAATTTGTTCAAATAATGAAACTTGGGTTAGATTTCAGATTCTAAAACAATTTATTTCTTTCCCGTGTGTCAATCTAAAAGCAATTAGAAAATCATTTTAAATCGGTAAAAAAATGTTAATGGGCCATTAAAGGGATTGGTTTCCTATTATTCATTGATATTCCCAACAAAAAACACATATTTGTATTTAATTAATTGAAAATTTACTAAAATGATACCATGAAAACACACGTACCACAACAACATATAAAAAGGTTGAATAAAGTTTGAAACATTGTTAAGATTGGCAAAGCTTATGTAAATCCGTTTAACATGTGTTAAACTTATATTCTTTATCTTTCATTGGCGATTGATAAGGAAGGATTTGAGTTCAATTGTTACTCAAACCAATTTTATTTTTTACTTTTCAATTTTATGATGATTTAGATTGCAAGTTAAAATATTAGATTATCTACCTCTCGACCTATAAATTTGGTTGGTATATTTCAATTCTAAGATTTAGTTTTTCCCTCTTAACGATGAAGAATCGTATACAAAAATAAAATTAAAATTAGGGACACGGATACTTATCTGTGTGTATCACAAACAAGCAGGGATTCAAACAAAGGAATGGGGTGTTTGTAACAATCTATGATTTTCTAATCTCTACATCTTTGCAAACTATTGTCGTAGACTTTTGATATTTCAAAATATGAATTCTGTTAGATAAAATAATCCAAGTTTGAAATTTTAAAGGTTTGCACAAACATAAATCTAAGATATAAAAATTTGAATATTCGAATTTGTGACAAAACTCAGTTTCATTGGGAATTAAGTTGATCAAAATATGATATTTGAAAACACACTAAGGAGTGTTCTAAAATGTCGCCTAGCGTAATTGATTTTTGTAAATAAGGTGTTAATGTTATTGAAAAATTAAAGATATTCGGGTTTATTGACAAACTTTAAATATATTTATTTTTTTTATGTGCAAAAAAGAGAAATTTTGGATTGTGTTGAATTTAAAAATATTAGTTTGGAGGCAAAGTTGGGTTCCCAAGCTTGGTTAAAATATTAAAATAGTTTTGCCCGATTAAATATATTTAGTTTTTATTCCACTAAAAAAAATGAAAAGGTTTGAAATTTTTTATTTTTACTCACCAAGCGCATTCCTCTTAGAACTGATATTCCATCCACACTCTCCAGGCCTAAATCCACTATACTGGCAACTACTATCGTCAGATCAAATATGTTCCAGCCATTCCCGAAATATTCTATTGTATAATCATCTAGCAATCCGTCATCAGAAGTACAATCTTGCACCGTACAGTATGTACAGTGTATACACAACACATACGTTATAATTAAATCCGTACATGCACAAACTCTATCATCCTTACCTTTATTATACTAAAATGTGTATAAACTGTTTAGTGTGTGTGTGTATGTATCCTATCTCAGCACAATTACTAAAATTAGTGCTAGATATTTAGGCTTTGTTTATCACATACTTCCTGCACACACCTCCCCCCCCCCCCCNGAAACTAGACCAACAAGATATTATGTGGAAACTAGACCAACAAGATATTATGTGGAAACTAGACCAACAAGATATTATGTGGAAACTAGACCAACAAGATATTATGTGGAAACTAGACCAACAAGATATTATGTGGAAACTAGATCAACAAGATATTATGTGGAAACTAGACCAACAAGATATTATGTGGAAACTAGACAAACAAGATATTATGTGGAAACTAGACAAACAAGATATTATGTGGAAACTAGACCAACAAGATATTTCTGATCATAACTAATGAACCCCTTGACCAATTTGCCTTAATAATTGGGGAATTTGTTTGAGCCACGGATATGGGCTTGGCTTGGCTTAAAAAATTCTAAGTTAAGTTGATCAACTTGAGGAGGGAAAGTTTTTATTTCCAGACATAGCTTGGTTATCAAGTAAGTTCATAATAATCCATCTTCTCTTTTTATCCTAATAAACCCTTAACCCTTTTACTCCTTCCCCCCATCTCTCATCACTACTTTACCTTACTGTGTACCATTAATGTACATATTTTATTTATATTTGTTCAACTCAGAGCCAGAAATTTAAGTATCTTTAAACGAAACTCCCAAGTTCCTTTTTGGGGTGTATTGGGGTGTATTGTACTCTATGCATTTGCGTAGATTTTAATTTAAAAAATCAGAAAACAAAAAGAGAAAGTAAAGAACTCACATGAAATAATATTTCTTAAAAAAATTTTGGTATCTACAAATCTTCCTGACCCCATTCATGAGACCGGGTTTCCGATACTGGGTTTCATTACGATACTCTGTCTTAAGTTTTGGGCTCATGTGTAGTGCATTCATATCTTGATGATCTTGTAATAGTGTGCGAAGTATCCAACCGAAAACATTTATTTGTCTCTTAGTCCTCAATATTCTTTCTTTTTAATTAAAGTTTTCCAATACTACTTTACCCTTTCTATATTCAGAGTATCAATGTTTGAGTATACATACAGGGTGATCTACATCAGATTAGGTTTCTTATACCCTTTCTATATTCAGACTAGAGTATCTATGTCTGAGTATTCATACAGGATCCACGTAATATTATAGTTGCTCTATTCTTTCTAGCGTGGCCTTTGCAAAACCAATAAAGATTACCCTATCCATATTATTTCTCTAGTTTTTTTGCTCAAGTATTCTATGTTTACCCTAGTATCTTGTGTTTACTCCAATATCCTTTGTTTACTCCAGTGTTCTATGATTACTCTAGTATCTTGTTTTTACTCCACTTTCCAATGTATGCTCCAGTATTCCATGCATACTCCAGTATCGTATGTTTACTCCAGTATCCTATGTAAACTCCAGTATACCATGTATACTCCAGTATGACATGTAAACTCCAGTATCCTAAGTATACTCTAGTGTCATATATTTACTCCAGTATACTATGTATACTCCAGTATCCTATAATTACTCCAGTATTCTATGTATACTCCAGTATCCTATGTATACTCCAGTATCCTAAGGCTACTCCAGTTTTCCATGTATACTCCAGTATTCCATGTATACTCCAGTATTCCATTTATACTCCAGTATCCTAAGACTACTCCAGTATCCTATGTATATTCCAGTATCCTATGTATACTCCAGTATCCTATGTATAGTCCAGTATCCTATGTATAGTCCAGTATCCTATGTATAGTCCAGTATCCTATGTATAGTCCAGTATCCTATGTATACTCGAATATCTCATGTGTACTCCAGTATCCTAAGTATACTCCAGTATCATAAGTATACTCCAGTATCCTAAGATTACTCTAGAATGAGATATTGCTAGATGAACCTTTACTAAGTGCTGTAACCTTGAGTATTGCCTCCAGTAGGAAGAAAGATGTAAAAACCTAAAAAAAAAGATGTTTAGGGTTGTGTTTTCAGTATTCATCAATTTGAAATTTTCGTAGATTAAGAATTAAGAAATGAAAACAATCAATCGATGTGTACACTGTAAAACTAGGTTGCGGAGAAAAAAACACAAGTATACAACTTATTTCCAACTCCTACCCCCCCCCCAAAAAAAAAAACTAATTTTAATTTTCAAACTTTTTTTGTGGAAATTTATTCCGGTAAAATAAATTTTGGAAAACAAAAAATACAAATGATTATTTTGAGAAAAGTATTTAAAAAGGTTTAACGCTGACAGTAAAGTTAGTAATTTACTAGAAGTTTTACTCATATTGTGTCATGGTGTACTTAAACATTAATATATACGCACACATATCTTTGTCTATTAAGGACTTTATGAGGGTTATGTTCATGAATAAATAAAAGATAGAAAGTTGAAGTAAATGAAACTAGTCACGGAGTTCTGTAAATGAAAGTAAAGTATAACTAATTGTACAAAGATTAATGATTAGTCTTTATAAACCTTCTCATTCGATCCACTACTTTATATACCTCCTCATTACACTACTTTATATACCTCCTCATTACACTTCTAATATACCTTCTCATTACACTACTTTACATATCTTCTCATTACACTACTTTATATACCACCTCATTACACTACTTTATATACCTCCTCATTACACTACTTTACATACCTCCTCATTACACTACCTTATATACCTCCTCATTACACTACTTTATACATCTTCTCATTACACTACTTTATATACCTCCTTATTACACTACTTTATATACCTCCTCATTACACTACTTTACATACCTCGTCATTACACTACTTTATATACAGCTTCTCATTACACTACTTTATATACCTCCTTATTACACTACTTTATATACCTCCTCATTACACTACTTTACTCATTACACTACTTTATATACAGCTTCTCATTACACTACTTTATATACTTTTATATTTCTAATTCGAAATCAACCGCCATATTCTATTATAAATCAATTAAAAGAAAATGCAGACCAAAAGCTTTGAAAAATTAGTTTAACCTGAACCCTGATTGTTTATATAGCCCTTAAACCTTTACTTAAACCATAATATTTAACCTATAGACCCTAAATATTAACATAAACTTGATCCTTAACCTAGCCCTTAAACCCTTACTTAAACCATAATATTTAACCTATAGACCCTAAATATTAACATAAACTTGATCCTTAACCTAGCCCTTAAACCCTTACTTAAACCATAATATTTAACCTATAGCCCCTAAATATTAACATAAACTTGATCTTTAACCTAGCCCCTAAACCTTTACCTAAAACCTAACCTTTAACCTATAGCCCCTAAATATTAACAGAAACTTGATCTTTAACCTAGTCCTGAATCTAAACTTTAACATAGCCCCTTAACCTAAACCCATGCTTTAAACAAACCATGAAATCTTTAGTCTAGCCCCTAAATCCTAGCTCCTCAACTTACAAGAGCCCCTCAATCTGAACATAAACCTTAATATCTAACCTATATTATAAAGACTTTTTTTTCAAGAAGTCCTCAACTATTTTATTAATATTTCCGTTTTATTATTTGAAACCAAAATCTAAAAAAGTTAAGCGAATCTCTAAATTATGGATATTTATTAAGATTGGTTGCGTCTGATTATTAATTTACTTAATTAATCTAAATTAAGTTGAGATTGAAGCAAATTTGATCATTTTAATCCTAAAATCCAGTCGACTCAAGGATTAGAATACATAATTTCTCAAACAGTCAGATGAAACAAATGAGCCCAGGCGAGATTGAATAAGTTGTTAATGGGAATTTAATAAATGAGTGTGGGTGGGGTTGAATAAGATGTAGATGGGAATGAATAAGATGTGATGGGGAATGAATAATTTTGGGTAGGATTGAATAAGATGTTGGTGGGAATGAAGGAGTGTGGCCTGTGGGTGGCAAAAGATTAGTGTGGATGGGTTTGAATAAGTGTGGGTGGAAATGAATGAGTGTGGGGGTAGTTTGAATGAGTGTGGGTGGAAATGAATGAGTGTAAGGTTGGTTTGAATGAGTGTGGGTGGAAATGAATGAGTGTAAGGGTAGTTTGAATGAGTGTGGGTGGAAATGAATGAGTGTGGGGGTAGTTTGAATGAGTGTGGGTGGAAATGAATGAGTGTAAGGGTAGTTTGAATGAGTGTGGGTGGAAATGAATGAGTGTGGGGGTAGTTTGAATGATTGTGGGTGGAAATGAATGAGCGCGGGGTAGTTTGAATGAGTGTGGGTGGAAATGGATGAGTGTGGGGGTAGTTTGAATGAGTGTGGATGGAAATGAATGAGTGTGGGGGTAGTTTGAATAAGTGTGGGTGGAAATGAATGAGTGGGTGGAGGGTAGTTTGAATAAGTTTCGGTGGAAATGAATGAGTGGGCGGGGGGTAGTTTGATTAATTGTTTGGGTGGAAATGAATAAGAAGTGGATGGGAATGAACAAGTGGGGTTGGTTTAGATGAGTGTGAGGGGGGAATGAATGGATGTGGGTGGGAAAGGATGAGTGTTGGGTGGGTTGAAGGAGTGAATGTGGGGTAGGTTGATTCAGTATGAAGAGAGGTGGGAATGAATGATCGAGTGTGGGTGGGAAAGGATGAGTGTGGGGTGGGAATAAATGAATGTGGGTTAGGTTGATTCAGTATGAAGAGAGGTGGGAATGAATGATGGAGTGTGGGTGGGAAAGGATGAGTGTGGTGTGGGAATAAATGAATGTGGGTTAGGTTGATTCAGTATGAAGAGAGGTGGGAATGAATGATGGAGTGTGGGTGGGAAAGGATGAGTGTGGTGTGGGAATAAATGAATGTGGGTTAGGTTGATTCAGTATGAAGAGAGGTGGGAATGAATGATGGGGTGTGGGTGGGAAAATTGTCTAACTGATTATGTAAAGTGCGTATTTATGTATTTATGCTAAAAGAAAGTATTTTGTTAAACTTGTAATTTCAACTCAGTTCTTAGAACTCGGAATAAATTTAAAATAATTTTTCAGGAAGGAGAAGATTACTCCTCATTTTATGCGCGGAGAAAATTCTCCTGATTGGTGAAGAAAATACTCAAGTTTAACAAGTTATAATTTTCTCGTTCTCATATCTTTACAACCTAATATTGTAGACTAAGAAATTTGCCAGATTAAAAAGTAAAAATGTTGGTGTTTGGTATTTTTTCAAAGGCATTTTCCAAGGGCGACTTCCCAAGTTACTAGTAGCAACTTTCCCAAGAGGCAACTTCTCAAAGTTTAGGTTAGGCCTTCTGAGCAGGCTACAATGGGGTGGGGGTAGCCGAGCGATGTGGCTAGAGGGATGGGCTAGGGACCGAACGCTGCGGCTAGATTGGGCTAGGGGGCCGAGCAGTGCGGTTAGGAGAGACTTGGGAAGTTGCCGCTTGGGAAATTGCACATTTTGAAGTTGCAACTTGGGAAAATGTCTTTGAGAAAAGTACCTAACATAAAAATTTGAATATCAAAGGTTTTCCACGCATTAGTTTGTGAGAATAAAAGAATAAGATAATTTGAGTTTTTGGCAAGTTATCAATCCCCATGAACTAACCTTATTTCCCATATCAAGGACGTATTGAAGATCTACACTCATACCATGATGTTCTACAGCCAGGAACACAGTGTTCAAGATGATACAAAGAGTAACTACAAGGTCGAATATAGGATCATTTATCACCTTGAACAGACATTCCTGGATACAATCTACTTTAACAAATAAATCAAAATTATGTCCACAAATATTGGAATTGATTTTGACAATTTAACATTGATGTTTTTTTAGTAATGGTTAACTAAAGCTAGTAAATATATATATGGAAACCAGTTTCAGAACCTAACCCCGAATCCTAAATCTTTATCCAACCCTGAATCCTAGATTTAGATATTGAGCCCATATCCAACCAAAGAGAATAGATTTTACATCTCCTTGTATCCAACCCTGACTCCTAACCTCAAACCCTAAACCTGTATCCACAATTCAACCCTGACTCATAGCCCCAAGTTCTGAAACAGCTTATCCCACCTTGACTCCAATACCCGAATCCTGAAACCTTATCCCACCTTGACTCCTATTCCCGAATCCTGAAACCTTATCATAACTTGACTCCTATACCCGGATCCTGAAACCTTATCACACCTTGACTCCTATACCCGAATCCTGAAACCTTATCCCACCTTGACTCCTATACCCGAATCCTGAAACTTTACCCCACCTTGACTCCTATTACCGAATCCTGAAATCTTATCCCACCTTGACTCCTATACCCGAATCCTGAAACCTTATCCCACCTTGACTCCTATACCCGAATCCCGAAACCTTATCCCACCTTGACTCCTATTCCCGAATCCTGAAACTTTATCCCATCTTGACTCCTATACCCGAATCCTGAAACCTTATCCCACCTTGACTCCTATACCCGAATCCTGAAACCTTATCCCATCTTGACTCTTATACCCGAATCCTGAAACTTTATCCCACCTTGACTCCTATTCCCGAATCCTGAAACCTTATCACACCTTGACTCCTATACCCGAATCCTGAAACCTTATCCCACCTTGACTCTTATACCCGAATCCTGAAACCTTATCCCACCTTGACTCCTATTCCCGAATCCTGAAATCTTATCCCACCTTGACTCCTATACCCGAATCCTGAAACCTTATCCCTCATTGACTCCTATTCCCGAATCCTGAAATCTTATCCCACCTTGACTCCTATACCCGAATCCTGAAACCTTATCCCACCTTGACTCCTATACCCGAATTCTAAGAATCAAATTTGAATAAAATTCAATAGTTAAAGTTTCCTGAGCTCTCAGCCAGCATTTGTAATCAAGGCAGCAGTAATGACATCCGGAGCAGTTCCTGTCATTTCCTGTCTCTGCAAACATTTTAAACTTATCAATTCCACTTCCGGACTCTGCAAAGTTTAACCGCAAGAAATATATCTTATGCAGTTTTGGGATGCTAGAACGTCTGAATATGACGGAATATCATTATTTAACAGAATTTATATAATGGTAGTTAAATAGAGAAAAGTATCTCATTTTGGACGACCATGGATGAAAATTTGAATAAGAAGTGATAATTGAGGGTATGGATGGGATGAGTAAATATAATATAAATCTATAAAATGACAATCTATAAAAGGATAATATGGAAACTATGAAAGAATGAAAGGATAATATGGAAACTATGAAAGAATGAAAGGATAATATGGAAACTATGAAAGAATGCAAAGATAATATGGAAACCATGAAAGAATGAAAGGATAATATGGAAACTATGAAAGGATACTTTATGAAAGGATAATATGGAAACTATGAAAGGATGCTTTTTGAAAGAATAATATGGAAACTATGAAAGGATACTTTATAAGAGGATAATATGGAAACCATGAAAGAATGAAAGGATAATATGGAAACTATGAAAGGATACTTTATGAAAGGATAATATGGAAACTATGAAAGGATACTTTATGAGAAGATCATATGGAAACCATTGAAAGAATGAAAGGATAATATGGAAACTATGAAAGAATGAAAGGATAATATGGAAACTATGAAAGGATACTTTATGAAAGTATAATATGGAAACTATGAAAGGAGAATATAGAAAATATGAAAGAAGAATATAGAAACTATGAAAGGAGAATAGAATATAGAAACTATGAAAGGAGAATATAGAAACTATAAAAGGAGAATATAGAAACTATAAAAGAATAATATTACCTATAGAAACTATAAAAGAATAATATTACCTATGGAAACTATAAAAGAATAATATTACCTATGGAAACTATAAAAGAATAATATTACCTATGGAAACTATAAAAGAATAATATTACCTATAGAAACTATAAAAGAATAATATTACCTATAGAAACTATAAAAGAATAATATTACCTATAGAAACTATGAACGGAATATCTATTTTGCTGGGTTTTCTCTCCTTCTCTTTACAGTTGATAATCTCGACATTCCCGATCGTAAGATCGTACAAACTATCCTGATCGTGATCCCCTACAACACCGCTATCATTTACAGACGTATCCCTAGAATAAACAAGTCTTAAAGGGAGTGTTTGCGTAAAATAAAAGAGGTTAAATACAAAATCATGATTTAATTCATTCTTTCTTTTTAAAGGGACAATTTTCTTATGAATTTAATTAGATTAGTTAGTGTTAAGCCTTTACTCCCTTTTGTATTTCGCGAGCACTTCATTTCATAAGATAACTTTTTACAAGTCATAAATGCCAGGTTTCCTCATATATATATTCTAAACATAATATTTTTAAGTAAACAACAAATTCTAAAAAAATCATCCTTTTCTGAAAAGTTTAACCCTAACTTTAAAAAACTAAGTAAAAATCAAAAATGAAATTGGCATTTTGAATCAATGGATTAAATTCAGGATGAATTTTGGTGAACTAACATATCAATATCAATTAAGAGGAACCTTGTGCCAAACAGGATTTTAACAAAAGTTTTTTTTTAATAAGACGGGGAAGGGGCCAATTTCTTAACAAGCCTATCAGTTCCTTTCTTTCCGAAAATTGTTGTATTTTCAGTGAATTTCTTCGAATTTGATAAATAAGGCTTTTAGGGCGCTTCGCGCCCATCTTCTAGAAGAAAAGAATTTCGCGGATTTTTATGAAGAAAATTCGCGGATTTTCAAGATTTAAAAAATTTTACAAAAATAAAAAACTTTTAAACCCAAATTTTCCAAATTTTAATCATTCATAAACCTTCCCTGGGGTCACGTGAGGTCCCACACAAAATTTGGTCCCGATCGGTTCAGCCGTTTTGACGTTTATTGGATACTAACGGACAGACAGACAAGCCAAATTCATATATAGATGTATTATTTTCTTTTTCTCTCCAGATATATATTGGCATAAGATTTATACACGGGTTTTACATCTTTCTTACAGGATAGATAATTTATACTCCTTAGTTTTGTACCCTGTGTACCCAGGTATATAAAATAGGTATGGAGGACAGGGTTTCTGTACATTTTCCTGTGATTTATTAGAACTGCTCATTAACTGGTTAAGGGTAAATAAACACCAGTTGTTAAGAAAGCCAGGCCTATGTATACTATCCGACTTTTGTTTGCAATATCTGTAATCTATATATATATAAAGAATAATCTCTGTTTGTTTGTATGTCCGATCATAACTCAGTAACCCCTTCTCTTAAATTTTCATTGCAGAAATCGGTAGAACCACGGGAATGTGCACATATTGAATTTTTAAATTCTAAGTTGAGTGATCGATTTATAGGGAATAATAGCTAAAATCGTAAATTAAGACCAAGCGCGGGTAAACGGCGGGAGTAACTATGAGTAATCTGGGTAACTTCAGCAATCCTATTATATCACAGCGAGTTGTGTACACAAAACTGTTCCCCTATGAACTCATGCACTAGAAGTATTCCTTCTTCTTTTTTATTTTTCCTAAAAGTACTTTCCTTTTATATAAACATACTTTTCTCATTTTATCCTTATGTTAACTCTTTGTACCCTAAATGATGTTCAAAGATCATAGTTCATATACATAAACGTTAATAAAAATCATGAAATCATGTAACAATGTTCATATACATAAACGTTAACCCTATCTCTGCTGGGGTACTTGAAAACCAGGATATGCTGGGGGGGTCAATTTGACCCCCCCTCTAAATCCCATGTTTGATGTCCAAATATGACAAATGATACATCATTGGAAAGCTCTTGTACTCTGCTTTTCGAATTTGCAAATTTGCAAAAATTGAATTTTTTATCGCAAAATCCAGTTATATAGTAAAAATGTTTGCAAAAAAAATTGTNTCTAATCGACTATATAGTAGGCTCTACACAATCAGATTATCTAATCGACTATATAGTAGGCTCTACACAATCAGATTATCTAATCGACTATATAGTAGGCTCTACACAATCAGATTATCTAATCGACTATATAGTAGGCTCTACACAATCAGATTATCTAATCGACTATATAGTAGGCTCTACACAATCAGATTATCTAATCGACTATATAGTAGGCTCTACACAATCAGATTATCTAATCGACTATATAGTAGGCTCTACACAATCAGATTATCTAATCGACTATATAGTAGGCTCTACACAATCAGATTATCTAATCGACTATATAGTAGGCTCTACACAATCAGATTATCTAATCGACTATATAGTAGGCTCTACACAATCAGATTATCTAATCGACTATATAGTAGGCTCTACACAATCAGATTATCTAATCGACTATATAGTAGGCTCTACACAATCAGATTATCTAATCGACTATATAGTAGGCTCTACACAATCAGATTATCTAATCGACTATATAGTAGGCTCTACACAATCAGATTATCTAATCGACTATATAGTAGGCTCTACACAATCCCGCAACCGTAAATCAGGGGCGGTAACTTTTGACTGGTTGGTTCTAAAGAACCCAACAACCGTAAATCAGGGGCGGTAACTTTTGACTGACAGGTTCTAAAGAACCCAGCAACTGCAAATCAAGGACGGTAACTTTTGACTGACAGGTTCTAAAGAACCCAACAACCGTAAATCAGGGGCGGTACCTTTTGACTGATAGGTTCTAAAGAACCTAACAACCGTAAATCAGGGACGGTAACTTATGACTGGTAGGTTCTACAGAACCCAACAACCGTAAATCAGGGGCGGTACCTTTTGACTTATAGGTTCTAAAGAACCCGCCAACCGAAAATCAGGGACGGTAACTTACGAAAAATATCGAGGACTTATATTCCATGTCCATCTAAAAAAAGTGTAAAGTTACACGGATTAAGATCAATTCCATTGCTAATCTCAAGATAAAAATAGATGAAAATATCATATAACAAAATAAACAATAATGCTGTTTTGTGACCTCATAACGACTAATATTTTTTTTTTCACACCCGAACGTCGACTTAAACTAATTTTCTTCCTTGGTTACAATATGCACTCTCTTAAAGATCTAATTTATAGCCATATTCTCAATGCATTGGATTAGGAGCACATGTAAATGGATATCCGTATATTTGTCTTTGTATTGGCTGGCCCATCTCTACCATTATTAAACAATATGACTAAGTAATTTGTACTCTGTAGTTCACAAAATGGAGGTTTTTACACTTTAAATGTTTCTATGTACTTTATTTACCATAAGTTATCTCTCTGTGTTTACAAAAGCTATAGTCTAGTTTACTCTATATACTCCATATACCTGATAGAACTGTACCCTTTGTACTTAATGTACCTGCTAGAATTGTACCCTATGTACTCCATACCTGCTAGAAATTTACTCTACATACTCCATGTAGCTGCTAGAACTGTACCCTATGTACTCCACGTACATGCTAGAACTGTACCCTATGTACTCCATACCTGCTAGAGCTTTACTCTACATACTTCATATAGCTGCTAGAACTGTACCCTTTGTTCTCCATACCTGCTAGAACTTTACTCTGTATACTCCATATACCTGCTAGAACTGTACTCTGAGAAGCTATGATGAGCAGTAGATGATGTAGGAGAGAGACCAGCTCCCTCCCGGGTCATATTATACTTGGTCTGAAATACATTCTTCATTCAGATTTTAAAATCAGGAATTTATGAATAGAAGATTAATGAATCCCTAATTTAGGTTTTTTGGATTTCTGCCAAAATTTATATGGATTGTTACAAAAAGACTTTCTGGGTTTCTACAAAATATATTTATGAATTTTATGGATTACTAGTAGAGATGTACGTATAGATTATTATTAGAAGGATTATGGAATTATGGATTTGAATGAAGGATGTAAAAAGGGTAAATGAAAGAATCCAAGCAAGGTTCTAAATTTCTCGCACTTTATTTGGAACATACTGATCGGTGGGACTGGACGTAGGGTTTTCTGTCGCACATGGTTTTAAGGACAATTTGGGGATATTTGGACTCCATTTTAAGGATGATTGGATGATAAAATCAATGAATGAATGTTTCCCTGATAGTTAGGAGCAAGATGAGCTGAATCTGTATTCTGTAGATCTACAGGTTGAAGAGCAGATCCAGGTTGACCTGCTCGTACCACTAGATATCTTTCCTTCTCCTTCTCATCCTTCTTCTCTTTCTCTAGATTTATATTATCATTATGAATGTACAGAGTTAGCCACAGACTATATTCTTTACAAATTTTTATTCATTTGAATCTTAACATTGAACTCTCATATTTACTTAAATGTATTTATATTTTTTACTAGATGTTTACAGATTTGTTCACGTCTTAATTTAATAACAAAAATAGCATTTTTTCAAAAAAAAATGTTTCAATCATTTAAACATTAATATTTGAACTCCTTTATTTATTTTCCTGCATTTGTTTATTTTGTTACTAGATAAAAAGATTAGAAATACTGGTTTTATTATAAAAAAGGAATATGACCCGTATTCCTTTGTTTTTACAGACATATCTAATCATCCTTCTCTCATCGCTCAAACCATTTATCATTTATCAAACCCCTTCTGCTCGGTCTCATAGATTAACATATTTATATCATATGAGCCAAGGAAAATAGATATGATAGCCGGGTCAACCTTTCCGGTCCCAGTTTGTACTGTATCGCCGGGACATTTGGTAAATAAAGCAGACATTCAATAGGACTAGCCGATGCAACAAGGTTGACGCAGTCAGACTTTAGGTTGAATTTACTTTTACTAGAGGGTCAGAGGTGCGTGATATACTGTTTTCAAACTCAGAATTTTCTGTAAAAAAAATTTCAGAAGAGTTGATTAGAATTCTAAAGCTTTGTTTTTCAATGATTTGTTACAATTAAATTTTAGCTTTTTTAGCTTATAAATATTTTGTATTTTTTTTCTATTCTCATTCAATTCAGAAGAGTAACTTTGACATCATTGTCCGTAATAATATGTTCCTGGAGCACTATGAGTTAAATGTTTCAAATTTTTGCAGTTTAGATTAAACAGAAAACTTATTTATAATACTACGTGTCAATTCATGATTTTATAGGTCACTAAATATATCAAAGCTAAACAGGTTGAGTTAATGTAAAAGGAATTGAGTATTTGCCACAAACTCAACTGTTCTAATCCCTATATCTCTGTAACCTGATGGTGTAAACTTTTGATATTTCAAACTTAGATTATTTAATCCAACAAAAATCATAGTTTGAAATCTCTACGGTCTACGACAATGTGTTGCAAATAAAAAGGGACCAGAAGATCAGAGTTTGTGGCAAAGACTCAATTTCTTTATATTAAATTGTTTTCTGTTTTTCTTGAACGCATTTTCCGACTTTCCGGCATTTGACTCCGCAGTTTTCAGAACTTATTTTCTGAACATACTTGTTAGCAGATCTAAGATAAATGACTCAGTATTCAGAAAACAGACTGTCGAAGTTCTAATAAATATTTCTATCAAACCATTAAAATAATTAAAACGTAAAAAATATACACTTACAACTTGACATCGATGTATTTTTGTATATTTATGTTCATTGTTCAATTAATAAACCTAAAAACCTATTACATTATGAGTAATTTTGATCAAATTAGCTCTCACCTAACTTTAAATAATTGTATAATTATAGTTGTAAATGACTGAATATACCTTTATTTTTTGCTGCAGCAACATTTTCATTTTTTGTACATTGTCCACAACAGTGGTCCGACTCTTGGGGAAACTTTGGAGAGTTGGTTCTTATAGTACACTCGTCTGTAACCTAGATTGAATATTCGTCATAATAGTACACTCGTCTGTAACCTAGATAGACTATTCGTCATAATAGTACACTCGTCTGTAACCTAGTTAGAATATTCGTCATAATAGTACACTCCTCTGTAACCTAGATAGAATATTCGTCATAATAGTACACTCGTCTGTAACCTAGATAGAATTGTCGTCATAATAATACACTTGTCTGTAACCTAGATAGAATTGTCTCTATAGAACGAGGGTGGGATGGTAAACTGCAGTAGATTGTCTACTAAAAGTAAAGTAGCTGTAGATCTACAGAAACTGCAGGACGAGGGTGGGATGGTGAACCGTAGTAGATTATCTACTTAAAGTAAAGTAGCGTAGATCTACCGGAACTGCAGAACGAGGGTGGGATGGTAAACCTCAGTAGATTCTACTAAAAGTAAAGTAGCTGTAGATCTACCGGAACTACAGAACCCCAAATAAAGCCGAACTGAAAGGTACGTACAGTTCTGCAGCTGTTCAAATATTTCACTACAAAATGTACGTAAATCCTATTGCCCCACCTTGTGTTATATAATTAATAGAAATTGTGTACGATCAATTCTCTGAGTTCTGTTTCTGATTTTTACAAAATACCAATTATAAACAAAATAGAAACCAATATGGCTGACAGAGCATCTAACCCAAAGTTTGAAATATCAAGGATTTACATCATCAGATTGTAAAGGTATATGGATTAGACAATTTTAGTTTGTGACAAAAACTCAGTTCCTTTAATAGTAGTTCCCGACCCTCGTATTTTCTAATCTGTGAATTTTGGCTGATGAGAGTTGAAATAAGTCTCTTGGGTGAGAATAGGGCTTATATTCATTTGAAACTGGTTGAATGTATTCTGTTTAATCAACAACTACCGGATTTGGAAAGGTTTGTTTGTCTAAATTGCTAATCTATCTTGGTCCAAATACACAACTTAACCAGGAACATTTTTATTTAAACAAATCCTATGTTAAGTCTTCCAATCAAATAAGAGAAAAAGGAAAAACTGCTGAAAGGGAACTGAAAGGGAACAGAAAGGGAACAGAAAGGATACAGAAATGAAACAGAAAGGGAACAGAAAGAGAACAGAAAGGAAACAGAAAGGGAACAGTAAAGGAACAAAAAGGGAACAGAAAGGAAGCAGTAAAGGAACAGAAAGGGAACAGAAAGATAACAGAAAGGAAACAGAAAGGGAACAGAAAGGGTACAGTACAGGAACAGAAAGGGAACAGAAAGGGAACAGAAAGGGTACAGAAATGAAACAGAAAGGGAACAGAAAGAAAAAAATAGTGAGCAGAAAGGAAAAAGAAAGAGAACAAAAAGTAAACAGAAAGAGAACAGAAAGGAAACAGAAAGAGAACAAAAAGTAAACAGAAAGGAAACAGAAAGGAAGCAGAAAGGAAACAGAAAGGAAACAGAAAGAGAATAGAAAGGAAACAGAAAGAGGACAGGAAGGAAACAGAGAGGAAACAGAAAGAGAACAGAAAGAGAACAGAAAGGGAATAGAAAGGAAACAGAAAGAGGACAGGAAGGAAACAGAGAGGAAACAGAAAGAGAACAGAAAGAGAACAGAAAGGGAATAGAAAGGGAACTAAACTTTAAGGACACAGTTAATTAATGGACTGTAAGAGGGAGGATTTTTATCTCTCTATTTGGTGTTCAAAATGACAAAATGGAACAAAGCAGGAACTGACAAAACTAAAATATAAATAGCACAGAAAGAGAATAAAGAGGGTTCTGAGACACAAAAATTAATTGCTTGTAAAGAGTGCTATCCTTCTTTTCCCTTATAATAGAAGTTAGGTACTTATTAAAAATATGGATTTGAAAGGCACACAATTATAAAATAAAACTGAGACAGAAGGAAGGGGAAACTAGGTTTAGAATGAATTAGGAAAGTTTTTAGTTCAGGTAAGGCAGAATGACAAAGTTTTAAATTCTTTTGAACCAATAGAATTCATTATTTTTCTGGGGAAAATTAATTACGACCATAATACTTCAGGATTCCACCGTGTGGCCATTAATCTTTTGAACAACTGTAAAACCTGGGGTCGTCCAAATATTCTTCAGTAGATAATGAAAACATGGAAAACTGTTAAACCTGGGGTCGTCAATATATTCTCCAGTAGATAATGAAAACATGGAAAACTGTTAAACCTGGGGTCGTCCATATATTCTCCAGTAGATAATTAAAACATGGTAAACTGTAAAACCTGGGGTCGTCCAAATATTCTCCAGTAGATAATGAAAACAGTAAGCTGTAAAACCTGGGGTCGTCAATATATTCTCCAGTAGATAATGAAAACATGGTAAACTGTAAAACCTGGGGTCATCCATATATTCCCCAATAGATAATGAAAACTTGGTAAAATTTGATCCGTTAGTTGTTACAAACTAATTTATGTTTCAAATGTTATAAAAGCTTATTTTGGACTTTGCATTTTTTCTTAAATGTTTGGAGATATTAATATTACTATATTTCATATTTCAGAATTTATATTAAACTATCAACAATCACAATGTATCCAAAAAAAAATACGATCCACACATAAAATTTTTATTGCTCTGGTATTGTTAAGGATTTTGAAGAGAATTCTTAACTTTTTAGAAAGCTTTTGCACTTTGTTTGTCGTAAAAAGTTACCCCTCCCCCTTGCTTACCTCTTTTTTCTTATGCTGAGCAGCTTCATCTGCTTCTCTTGCTCGTTCCTAAACATTGTTTTCTACTTATATTCTACAACTAGCTGAATTACCCGGCGTTGTCCGTGGAATTTATAAAACGTGCAAAATCCAAATATTTGTATACCTCAAGGTTTCACAACCGTAATTCCGAAGGAATAGTTCGCGAAAAAAATATAGTCAAGAATAATCAGGATACATTTTTCTCCAAAGACCCAAAAAGTCGTAAGAAACCGGTTGTTTTTTCACTGGCAGACCTGATTGGAAATAATTGTATCTTTACAGAAATATCGTATGGAAATAAAATTGATATTAATAGATTTATATTTTAAGTATTGTTCATCCTATACACTCTTTTACTTTCCGCGACCACTCCCTTAAAGATTCCACCTATGTTAGTATACAATTATCCTCAGTAAAACCGGGTCTCAGAGGAAAATCTAATTTGTAATTTTCTTCATCTCTCCCCCTTCCACACTGTCCTTGGTTAGGGTTTTCCTAAGATTTAGGTTTTCTAAATCCCAGGAATGCTCTGTTAAGTATACTCTACCGAGAAGAAGGGTTAAACGAATTCAATTTCCGGTTTCCGGCCTTCGCCTTCCGGTATTCAATATTCAGTAGGCAGTATTACCAATATTTCGAGTTACATCCAGAGCAAATAAACATGATTTTATAGACGACGACATTAATCCCATATATATTTACCGCATTCATAAGGTCGGCTTCCTCCTCGTAGCTCATGGCTACGACAGCTAGCATGAGGTTGATGAGATAGAAGGATCCGAAGAAGACGACAATTGTAAAGAAGATTACATGTATTGGTCCACCAGTTGCAACTACCTAAACAACAAGTAAATTCAAATTAATCATTAATCCTTTGCGTTTATTACGGGGAATCAACTTGTAATATACACTATAAAAAAATATCATTAAGCCAATGTATATTTGTCATTCAAATACAGGGTGTTCCACGAAACATGACAGTAGCAAGACGACTTCAAGGTCGTCTTGATTTTTTATATGATTTTCGGCATTTATTTGCAAACCTAATTTTAGAAGTTCTAGAGATATTAATCACAAAATATCACTAGTCCTGGCATTTCCAAAACGTGGTCTGCCTTTCATGTGAATTCAATATTGCCCGAGATATGATATGTTTCAAGAATCATACTTGTTGATTGATGACTGAGTGTCAAAAATAAATTCAAATATCAAAGACGACTTCGACTTTCAAATCGTCTTGCTACTAGCTTGTTTTGTGGGACACCCTGTACCTTAATTGATAATTTCAAAAGAAAATTAAAAAGCAGAGAAGTTTATTTTTACCATTTATGGCCAAACTGTATTAAGGCCAGGAATGGGCCTCTTTAGGCTCAAAACTAAGTATTGTCGCCACTAGAAGATTTATGCCCGTTTTCAGACAATTAATGGCCACTTAAATAAAGGATGTTTTCTTGTTGTTCCTGTGCAGTGTTTGTCTTAGGTTGGATTAGTTTCATCCTCGTTAATTTAATGTGAGGTTAGGGTTGGAGGCTTACATCAACGCATAGATAAATCCGAGGTACTATACTGCAAAGGAAAGTTAATGGCGGTCGCGTATACTCTGCGTACATATTGAAACCAGTTCTCTCTGGGCGGAATTTGTAAACAAGAATAGATGCATCAGTGTTCGTTTAGTATCCGAGGAGGTTAAAAGCATTTAATTTTGATAATAAAGTCACATAATAGTTTCCTATGTCCAGAATATTTCGCATAGATTATTTTTGTGAAAATTGATCCCATGTCAGGCTGTGACATCTGTCTTGTGTTTACTTTTCCGCCCAAAGACAATACACTGCAGTACAAAAAATGCGTACACCTCTGAAATAACTTTCCTTGCATTAGTACCTTGGATAGATCATAACTCGGGCAGGGGGGGGGGGGGACAAAATAAACCACTCAATTTCATATTTTCATCTTGCTAAATTGCCCTTTTTACTTCAAGGAGCTAAATGTAAACTGAATGTTTATCTCAAAAAGGTAAAAATATTTAAAGATAATTACAACAGGAAATTCATGAATTCTTTTACTGCTAAGTTGCTAATGCATAAACATTTTACTGAATACGTTAAGGATAAAATATCCAAGTATGAGGATTTAAAGTGAATTGAGTCTTTGCCACAAACTCTGATTTGCTAATCCCGATCTTTGCAAACCAATGTCGTCGTAGACCTAAGACTTTTCAAACAATTCTATTACATCATGTAAAGGTTTTGCACCATCGTGTTCAAAGATTCTCATTTTATAAGGAAAAAGTTTTACTAATCACTTAAAAATCAAATAAGATAGGTCTATGTAGTATGTACACTGCGCACTAAATAAGATGGGTCTATGTAGTATGTACACTGCACACTAAGCAAGATGGGTCTATGTAGTATGTACACTGCACACAAGCAAGTCTAAGAATAGCCTTTTTACTCCATAGCTTTATAAATCCAACTGTATTTGTAACTGTCAAATATTTTTAAAATGTGAAAAGCACATTTTCTTAATTTTTATAATTTTCAATGCCAAAGACTTAGCGGTACTGTGTACGAAAGAAATTACGACGTCGACAATCATCCCGCAGTTTATTATCAAATATTCTGCTCACTCACCATGTTGTAAACGTTCTCCCAGTAGTCCAGTGTGATAAGTTGGAATGTTGTCAGCATAGACCAGAGCAGATTGTCAAAACTTGTAAATCCAAAGTTGGGATTTCCGCCTATACTCCCCAGACAGGTGTAACCGTGGGGACACGATCTAAATTTGAAAATGTAAAATTGTGGATTTTGTTCAATAATATATCATAAATTTGTAGTTCTCCGCATCAGTATGAACTTCTCTCAGTCTATCATTTCTGGTCGTCATTGAAGTTTCGCCCTTTATGGGCCACCCTGTCTGAAACCAAGACTTCTAACATTTTTTGAACGGGGTAAAATATTTTTTTTTCAGGGTTTATTGGATAGAAAAATTCCAAAAAAAATTCTGGTCCATCATGCTAAAAAGTCAAACAGGTTTATGAGTCGTAGTTAGCCCTATTACAAAGCATAAGAATGTCTAAACAAACAAAAAACTTTTGTTTAGCAAAGTTTACTGATGATTTATTTAATCGTTTAGCTCAGGAAGCTCCAGCTGCTACAAACAACATCGTTGTATTAATATTTATCATATAAGTATTTATTTATAGCATTTGTAATTTTTTTTTACAAAATAACAATAACACTTTGTTAGTGGTAAAATACAAAAATATTGCTTAAAAGTATTAATATTCTACTTTTCTGAATTTGTAGAGTCTTTTTACACGATACTACGCTTGGATTAGGTACAGTTAAGTTAAGTACCATAGGGCAAAAGGGGGTGAAGGGTAGAATTGAATGAATTGATATAGCTTTTAAACCCTCTTTAAAAACTGTGTTAATTCAGTTCGGAACACACTTCATTGTTATCTATATTAGAACTCTCTTTGTCTTACTCTTACGTACCTTGCTTCACCAGCGTTCCCATAGTTCTAGAACTCCCTCCTTTACTTTATATCTACCTTGCTCCACTAGCGTTCCCATAGTTCTAGAACTCCCTCCTTTACTTTAAATCTACCTTGCTCCACTAGCGTTCCCATAGTTCTAGAACTCCCTCCTTTACTTTATATCTATCTACCTTGCTCCACTAGCGTTCCCGCATAGTTCTGGAACTCCTTCCTTAATTATTACCTTGTTCCACTAGCATTCCTACATAGTTCTGGAACTCCTTCTTTTATAATTACCTTGCTCCACTAGCATTCCCACATAGTTCTGGAACTCCTTCTTTAAGAAACCAGTTTCTCTCATTGTTTGTCCATAAGCTCCAGTTAGCAGTAGCAGGTACATCAAGTACACATTTATTCCGTAGCTGACCCATATACACCTTAAAAAAATATTTATAAATGTTTATTTTTTTACTTCAATTTCCTTTTCCTTAAATTTCAGATTGAACAAAACCCTGAAATCTTCCTGAACCCTAAACATCTACCTGAACGATGAGCATCTACCTGAACCCTGACCATCATTTTATTAAACTCTGATCATTTACCTAAACCTTGATTTTCTACCAAAACCCTGACCCAGACCATCTACTGAACTCTGATCATCTGTCTGAAACCTTACAATCTACATGAACCCTGATCATCTATCTGAACCCTGACCATCATCTTATTGAACCCTGACCATGATCTTATTGAACCCTGATCATCTACCTGAACCCTGATCATCTAATTAAACCATGATCATCTACCTGAATCCTGATCATCTAATTAAACCATGATCATCTACCTGAACCCTGATTATCTACCTGAAGGGCGAAGAGTGCAAAGACCATGAGGCAGAATATTGTCAAGGTCATGACCTCCGCCAACTGCTTCACAGAGTGCAACAGAGCGTTAATGATTGTCTTCAATCCTGAAAAATGATCAGACGTCACAACTTGTGTGTTGATAATCCTAGGAATACGCACTACGAAGCAATCTCTTGCTTGTGTAATGTGTAGTCCTTTGGATTATATCAATTCAAGACTATCCTGCGGTAGCGCAGCGTGTATAATTTGATTCTTAAAGTTTAAACTCCCATTTGAAAGCTGTTACACTACAGTGGTTATCGCAAACAAGCGTTATAGATTAGCGCTTCACACTAAAGTGTTTATCTCAGGCCATGAAACTAGAGCACTTGATCTCAATATACACTGTGGAAAATTAATTAGAAACGAAATGTTTAATCAAAAGTGCCGATCCTGTGACGTACGCATTATGACGCATCAGATATGTTATACTTGATCTGATTATCTGATACCTCATGTTCTAATGAAGCAAATTCAATGAATATTAGGATTTTATAAATCAAGGTTATTAGAAACTATATAAACGTAACTTTGACAAGTAAATACCAAATATAATTAATCTACAGGGTGTCTTCAAATAATATTAGTTAATTTGTGTCTTTATAATTAATCATATCCCACCTCCACCCTACATATTAAGACACGGAAAGCTTTCATTTTTTGAAGAAAAACAATGTCTTCAAGAGATTTGAGAAAAATAATAAAAAAATAAAAATGAATGTTCGTAAATACTTCTAATTCACATTTGTTTATTTATATTTAACCATTTTTCGGTATTATATTGCAGTGATAACCAGAAAACAATACAATTGGAAAACGACATTAAATTTGACGTTGTTATAAAGCAAATAGGTTTGCTAGACACTTAGTTATTCACTAATTTAGTAAAATAGGGTTGTTTACACTGCACAATTGATGTGACTAATGATCATTGGACTTTTTAAAGTTATAACTTAATTCTAAAAGTTGTCTTCATATTTCAGAGTTTGCTTGGTTATCACTGTTTATAAGTATTGATTAAGCCTAATATAACAATTATATTGGCAGAATATTTGAATATATTATCCTGTATAGTCTCCAGGATATATGTAATCAATTTATAACAAATCTAATTATCTGCATAGGGAAGGGGATCTCTTTCATTTTCGTTTTGTGTCTGTGTAAAGATGTTAAGGTATTTGATTCATTTTTGAAATTTTGCAAGTATTTTTATGCTTAAGAGAAAAGATGAAAAGCTAAAATTTCTCATACCAAGATAGTTTAGATAAAAAAAAAAAACAGCAAACAATAAAAGATTTTTTAAAAATTAATTATAAGGGGAATATCAAAACATTGTAGTAAATAAAATGTGGTAAATATATATAATAAATATCATTGTTAAAATATTATTTAACGATAAGAACTAAATAAAACGACGCATATCCCTAATTATCCCACAGCCTGCACAACTTCATTATCTGAATACGGAGAATATAAAAAATAATCACCCGGTATTCCGGGCAGATAAAGAAACCGATATATTCAGGTTCATTATTGGTATTTATTCCGTTTTCCTCATTAAAAAAATGTAATAATTACATGAAATCGTTTTTCAACAAATTTCAACAAATTTTACCGATATAGCGCAACATTTTATGAAAATTGGCATTGTTTAAAAGAATTATTATACACATAAGGTTCCTAACTCAGAACATTTGTATAAATATATCAGTTGCAGCTATCAAGTAAGTCTGTGAGACTTAAAATCACAAATATTCAAATTTCCTGTGTCGACTTTTTTATCCGTATTATCTATTAGGCATTTTCCGACCGTTTACTTTTAATCAAGTTGAAATGAAATACAGGGGTGAAAACGGGCATCTAATCCCTTGGAATTACAATGACAGTCCCTTTAAAGAGAAAATGGGTTTTGAGATTTAAGTAATACAGGGGTTTTAAAGTACTGAACTGATTGAAACAGATTTAAAGTACTGAACTACTTGGCATGATTCAGATTTAAAGGACTGAAATACCTGGCATGATTGAAACAGATTTAAAGGGCTGAAATACCTGGCATAATTTAAACAGATTTAAAGTACTGAAATACCTGGCATGATTGAAACAGATTTAAAGGACTGAACTACTTGGCATGATTGAAAAAGATTTAAAGTACTGAACTACCTGGCATGATTGAAACAGATTTAAAGGACTGAAATACCTGGCATGATTGAAACAGATTTAAAGTACTGAAATACCTGGCATGATTGAAACAGATTTAAAGGACTGAAATACCTGGCATGATTGAAACAGATTTAAAGTACTGGAATACCTGGCATGATTGAAACAGATTTAAAGGACTGAAATACCTGGCATGATTGAAACAGATTTAAAGGACTGAAATACCTGGCATGATTGAAACAGATTTAAGAGCTCTCAGAACCCTAAAAGTTCTCAAGCCTGCAAAGTTTCCCATCTCAACGAAGGTAGTGAGGTATCCTAAAATATTAAATTGTAATTCCTAAAATATCAAATTGTAAATCCTAAAATATAAAATTATAAATTCAAAAAAAATTTCTTTTTTTTCTTTATCAATTAAGTGTAAATGCATGTTGTAATTCTGAAATAATTTTAAATGAGGTTGCTTTAAATTTTACAACTTATTTAAACGATAATTAATCCTACAATGACGAACTAGATTTTAAAAATGTGTATACAATCCACAACATGCAAAAAAAACAGTTATTTTTACCAATTTTACTTTCTCCTCTTCCCCCTTCCCGGATCCTTTCTCCTTTTCACCAATTTTACTTTCTCCTCTTCCCCCTTCCCGGATCCTTTCTCCGTTTTACCAATTTTACTTTTTCCTCTTTCACCTTCCCGGATCCTTTTTCCTTTTTACCAATTTTACCTTATCTTCTTCCCCCTTCCCGGATCCTTTCTCCTTTTTACCAATTTTACTTTCTCCTCTTCCCCCTTCCCGGATCCTTTCTCCTTTTTACCAATTCTACTTTCTCCTCTTTTCCCTTTCCGGATCCTTTATCCTTTTTACCTATTTTACTTTCTCTTCTACCCCCTTCCCGGATCCTTTCTCCTCTTTACCCATTTTACTTTCTCCTCTTTTCCCTTTCCGGATCGTTTCTCCTTTTTACCAATTTTACTTTCTCCTCTTTTCCCTTTCCGGATCCTTTCTCCTCTTTATCAATTTTACTTTCTCCTCTTCCCCCTTCTTGGATCCTTTCTCCTCTTTACCAATTTTACTTTCTCCTCTTCCCCCTTCCCGGATCCTTTCTCCTTTCTACCAATTTTACTTTCTCCTCTTCCCCCTTCCCGGATCCTTTCTCCTTTTCACCAATTTTACTTTCTCCTCTTCCCACTTCCCGGATCCTTTCTCCTTTTTACCAATTTTACTTTCTCCTTTTCCCACTTCCCGGATCCTTTCTCCTTTTCACCAATTTTTCTTTCTCCTCTTCCCCCTTCCCGGATCCTTTCTCCTCTTTACCCATTTTACTTTTTCCTCTTTTCCCTTTCCGGATCCTTTCTCCTTTTCACCAATTTTACTTTCTCCTCTTTTTCCTTTCCGGATCCTTTCTCCTTTTTGCCAATTTTACTTTCCCCTCTTTCACCTTCACGGACCCTTCCCTTCCCTTTGAAACTTAAACTTCCGAAAAAAACCTTTACTTATCCTGCCCTTCACTTACACTTGCTTTAACCCTCACTTTTACCTAAACTTAATACTTCCTTCATTTTCCTTTACTCGGAGTTGCAAAGAGAAGGAGAGAGTTAATAAAAAAGATAGAGAAGAATGGAAAGGAAGAAAATTAATAGGATTCCGGCTGTGTGGTTAAAGGAAAAGTTATAAAAGTAGAAATTGACAATTTAAATTAACTTGGCATCTCAACTTCTTAATCCCAACATGACTCTAGGATTTGAGAAACTACATTAAAAATTAAGGAGGAAAAGTTGGGTAAATGTTCTTTGCTACATTAACATGAATGGTTAAAACGGAGCATCAACTGTTTTTGCATTCTATCCTTCCTTATCCAAACCAGAGAGTATATACATACACTGAGAAAATCCAAAAATCAGAGTATATACATTGAGCTAGTCCAACCCACCCATAGTCTCATAGAGTATATATATATACGAAACAGATCCATCCCACCCACAGAGTATATACAGTTACGAAGAAAAAACAATACACAGAGTATGAATAATAAGGAGCTACTCCAACCCAAACAATTATGAATATTTAAAAGGTAAAAGGCCGTTTATAACAAACTGATATTTAAAATCTTTTTATTACAGAAAATTGTCGCTTTCTAAATCTACGAAATTCTGGCACACATAAAGCAAGAGTTCCGTAAATATTTGCACTCTATCACCGTCCAGTGTACAGAGTTCTGTAAATATTTTCACTCTATTACCGTCCAGTGTACAGAGTTCCGTAAATATTTACACTCTATTACCGTCCAGTGTACAGAGTTCTGTATATATTTACACTTTACTACTGTCCAGTGTATAGAGTTCCGTAAATATTTACACTCTATTACCGTCCAGTGTACAGAGTTCTGTAAATATTTACACTTTATTACCGTCCAGTGTACAGAGTTCCGTAAATATTTTCACACTATTACTGTCCAGTGTCCACAGTTCTGTAAATATTTACACTCTATTACCGTCCAGTGTACAGAGTTCCGTAAATATTTACACTCTACTACTGTCCAGTGTACAGAGTTCTGTAAATATTTACACTCTATTTCCGTCCAGTGTACGGAGTTCCGTAAATATTTACACTCTATTAATGTCCAGTGTACAGAGTTCTGTAAATATTTACACTCTATTACCGCCCAGTGTCCAGAGTTCCGTAAATATTTAAACTCTATTACCGTCCAGTGTACAGAGTTCCGTAAATATTTACACTTTATTAGTGTCCAGTGTACAGAGTCCTGCATTAATGATTAACGGGTTTCTTTCTTGTCTTAGGGCCTGAATCTGCGAACATAGTTTCAAGGTATAATCTATTTTCTATATATATATAAAGTAGTTATCTCTGTTAGTTGGTTCAATCATAACTCATATGAACCACTTGACCAATTTATCTCAAATTTTGATTAAGGAACTCGTAAGAACCACTAGAATGTTCTTAGCTTGGTTTTAAATTTCTCAATTGAGTGGGTCCATTTTTGAAGGGAAAACTCCTGGCAAAGCTGAGTTCCAAAGCTATTCTTAGATAAGCTTTAGTCTGCAACCATAGATATAGGGTGTATCTTATATAAACTTCAGTCTGCAACCATAGTTACAGGGTGTATATTATATAAATAAATTTACAGGGTGTTTATTGTATAAATTTCAGTCTGTCACCATTGTTAAAGAGTGTATCTTATAATAAACCTTAAGTCTGTCAATATAGTTATAGGGTGTATCTTATAATAAACCTTAAGTCTGTCAATATAGTTAAAGGGTGTATCTTGTAATAAACCTAAAGTCTGTCACTATAGTTAAAGGGTGTATCTTATAAAAAAAAACCTTCAGTCTGCAACCATAGTTAAAGAGTTTACATTATGTGCAACCAAAGCTGAAAGGTGTATGTTAAAAAACTTACACCAAACCGTATGTTCCAGTTAAAAGGAAAATATTTCAAAGGCTGCTAAGTGGTTGCTCTAATCTTGATTGCTAGAAACAAAGCTGCTGGGAAAATAATATACCGTCCTTCTCCTTTTCCCTCTTATCAGAAGTATTTTTAATCTATATAGATGAAACAAGACCAAAGGGGCTGACATTTTTTTCAAATTTTTTTTTTTTTTTTTTTTGCCCCACGGGCAACGCCGGGCCCTTCAGCTAGATGTTTATTAAAATACAGATAAAAATCTTCAATAACTGTGTTCCTTGCAATAATGCTTCAAGCAATCATATCTGCAGGGGGTTTAAGCAAATCCCTGGTGATAACCAGAAAACTCTGAAATACGAAGACGAATTTCAGAATCTAACTACTTTAAAAAGTCCAATACGCATGAGACATAGCATTTGTGCTAGGTAAACAGACCCATTTCATTAAATTAGGGATTTAATAAGTGTCTAGTACAACTATTCGCTTTGATGCAGCAACGTGATATTATAATACATATTGCGTAATTATAATAAATATTGTGCAACACAATATCTGAAAACCTGAGCTACATTGTACATTATTAATTATCTATGCTGTAAATAAGTACGTAACATGATTAACATGAATTGTGATTAGCTTAAGTACGTTTATGTATATCCTTGCTAATCTTAAATACGTACATTGAAACTTAAACTGCGCTGTTAACATGTATTGTGTTGGCTTAACTACGTTATATCTATCCACGCTAATCTTGTAAATACGTACCTTAAGCTACCCTGTTTTTATATAACTAGCCTTAGAGGGCGCTTCGCGCCCATCTTCTAAATTAATTGTGAACATGTTCTCTTTGTGTAAAACAAAACAAAAATAATTCGCGGATTTTCACAAAAAATTTCGTCGATTTTCAAAATTTTAAAAAATTTAATGAAGATCGAATTTTGATGGAGACAAATATTTAAAATTTTGATCATTCATAAACCTTCCCTGGGGTCCCTAGATGTCCCACAAAAAATGTTGGCCCGATCGGTTCAGCCGTTTTGACGTTTATTGGATACAAACGAACAGACAGACAAACAGACAGACAAGCCAAATTTATATGTAATGATGTAAAACTTGTAATTACATCGATTAACGTTAACTTGTAACGTATAATCTAAATACAAATTATTTGGTATAGACTCCGCTTTGATTATGGTGATAGAGTAATTTGGTCCTTGTTGAAACATACAAGCTGAGATTGTGTCCATGTTGACATTTATAGCTGGGCTTGTGTCCGTGTTGGCATTGGCAGCTAAGAAGATCATGCCCATTGGTTTGGTATTGATCGATTAAGAGCTTGTGTCCGTGTTGACATTTATAGCTGGGCTTGTGTCTGTGTTGACATTGATAGCTGAGAAGATCGTGCCCATTGGTATGGCATTGATTGCTTAAGACTAAGAGCTTATGCCCGTGTTGACATTGATGGCTGAGAAGATCGGCCCATTGGTTTGGCATTGATCGCTTAAGAGCTTGTGTCCCTGTTGACCTTGATAGCTGAGCTTGTGTCCGTGTTAACGTTGATAGCTGACGATCGATACCTGGATTGATATAGGTTTGGAAGTAGTTTTACGAGAACGGCATTTACTACAATATAAGCTTAAGCAATGATATGATGTCGTCTGCCTATTCCATTATTTTCTGGTTATCACTGTGTGACTGTATATAGATAAAATATTACAGAATTATCTCCTAAGTAAAATATTTTTCTTGAAACTGTGTACACTCTTCACTGTACATATTGTATGTATATTGTACACAGTACATACAAATATTTATCTCCAGTAACTAAACCTAAAAGCAATTTACCGGAATATTATGTTTTAAAATAACATTATTTTTCCCCTCTAACCCATTAATAAATAAATTGAATACTCGTCACGTCCTCTATTTTTATAATCCTTACATCTTTGAAGCTTGATGATGTCATGATCGCAAACCTTTGCAAAAATTTGTTTTAATTGTTTCTAATCTTTACAACACACTATAAACAGATTTTTGTGGTCGACTTCATTAAACAATTCTAAATTTGTTTCAAATTTTGTTTAAGGCTGACATAAACTTAGGAACTTAACACTTGACAAGAAATTCGAATTGTCTAACTCCTATGTCTTTCCAGATAGATCATTGAGTTTTGAAAAAAATAAATAATTTCGGATCAAATAGTACAGGTTTAAAATATCGAAGGTTTACAAAGAAATAAAGATTAAACAAATAAGAGTTTGTAGTAAGTGTTCAAATTCTGTGTTTAGCTTTTTTTAGCCATTTAAATAATAATAGTATCTTAAATAATAATTACCTTTATCACCATTTCAACAGAATAAATTCCAAGAAAAACAAACCTGAAAATAATAATTAAGTGATGTTGAATCTGGCTTAATTTAGTGTTTAAATGTTGATCAGTCCGGTGTTTAATCTGGTTTTTAATCTGTTGGTTAATCTGTTGGTTAATCTGGTGGCTACTCTGGTGGTTAATTTGGTGTTTAATCTGGTGTTTAATCTGGTTTTTAATCTGGTGGTTAATCTAGTGGTTAATCTGATGGTTAATCAGGCGGTTAATCTGGTGGTATATCTGATGGTTAATCTGGTGGTTAATCTGGTGGTTCGTCCACTCCTAGGTCTTGTTTTTAATCTCATGGTTAATTTAGTGATTAATCCACTGTTAAGCCTTGTTTTTCGTCGCATGGCTAATCTGGAAGTTAATTCACTGTTAAATCTCACACTCAACTCATGTACATTTGAATTTGAGCTGGCCCGACTTTACGGTCCTAATTTGTACTGCCCTGCCCGGTACACCAACTACACTGGCAGACATTTGAAAAGGGTCAATATAGTTGGCTGAGCTATGTATCATACGCTTAATGCTAATAATGTTACTGTTAATTTCAGGGAGCTAAAGAATTTTCAGGAATGGAGACGGGCCACATTCATCGGAAAATGCAACAAGGATGAATATGCTGGAGCCTGACTATCCTCACCAATCGGAACTAGATGAACTGCAAAAGTTGGACCCCGAAAAAATCAATATGATGGAGTCAGAAACTGACAAACCAACATTATAGGAGCCATTATCCGAGCATGGCGTTCTCAAAACATCTGAACCCGACACTCTCAAGCTAGATATCCCATCGGAATCCGACACTTCTCAACCAAATTAGTATTTAAATCTTAAGCATAAGCAATGGAAGCTACAGTCCATACAAGCAGCAATAACAGTACAAAACACAACTACAATGGAAAAAGGAACAACACCGGGAAAAGAAGCAACATCAGAAAAAGAAGCATCTACGGAAAAATGTGATTGAGAAACACATAAAAGTGAATAAGACCACAAAACTAGTTTGCATTTGAAAAATTGCCATAAAAAAAAGTTGAGATAATCACAAAATGTCTAATAGATAAACATTACCTAAACTATATAGATCTATTTCAGGAATCCACATTATGAGGAGCTTCACTACTGAAACAACTTCAAAACTATATCAACAATGGACAACAATCTCCCACCAGCGAAAAAATCAACGGAAAAATTCGCAGCGGTACAAAAAATAAGAGTTTGAGCTTCTCCATTTTTAATTTTAAAATCTATATGTCAGTCTTCAACTAAATATTTGCTTCAAGTTAATTTCAAAATAATTCTTGAAGAAAAGTGTTAAACTAAAGCCTAAGGTTCACAACAATTTAACCAACATGTGCAGCTCTAGATTTTATAAATATTGGATTCTCAAATATTTACAGAATTGAAAGTGCAAAATGAAAATTCTATTGAGATTTAAAGCTTTGTAAATCAGGATATTTCAGCTTGGTCAATTCTTCTATTTAATATTTCTAAACAGTTAATTGTTTTTCTCTAAATCTGGATCTTGAATTAATTTTTTTTAAGCAGCAGAGTCTAAAACTAAAGAACGAAAAGTTTTGACTTAAATTTTAAGTTCATGGTTAAATGCCACTTCTGACTTAATTTAAACCTGAACTTTACCGTATGGTTAAATATTTAATCCTGTGGTTAAAAATTTAACTCGCCGAAATCGACGAGTTAAAATTCAAACACCTAGTCCAAAACTAAAGAACGAAAAGTTTTGACTTAAATTTTAAGTTCATGGTTAAATGCCACTTCTGACTTCAAGGGTTAAAATCTTGAAATCCCGCAATCCCTATTTGTCTATCTCGTCTATCATCATTCAGCGGTAAGCGGCATTCAACTATAAATTACGCTATATTTAAAAGTAAAAACCTTGATTTTATAAATTTCACGTTTTAGATTAATTAATGTTTGCACATAAACCCAAAATACGGTTGTAACTGGAAATAAGTTTTGTTTTCCGTCACGTAAATAATTTCAAATTTAAAAAACAGCTGATTACCGAATACCGATACTTACGTAATAATTCTTCGTAAATTCTTTTCTTTGATTGGTTCAGATTTTTCCCGGGAAATTCAAATTTAAAATAGAGTAAGTTTAATATTTAAGTAGCTATTCATTATTTTACAGAACTTTTAACCTCGAACTTAAAATTCGCGCATTCTTTAGTTTTAGACTCCGACTTGATTTTTTAATCTTATTTCTAATTTATTTTCGATTTTTTTTAAAGTTAACTTTTCTTTGGTTGAATTTAATTTCAAACAATTGTTGTGACATCACTTATACCATTAATAGTCAGTCTAAAACTAAAGAATGCGCGAATTTTAAGTTCGAGGTTAAAAGTTCTGTAAAATAATGAATAGCTACTTAAATATTAAACTTTCTCAATTTTAAATTTGAATTTCCCGGGAAAAATCTGAACCAATCAGAGAAAAGGATTTACGGAGAATATTACATAACCATCGCTAATCAGCTGATTACGTAACCGAAAACAAAACATATTTCGAGTTACAACCGTATTTTGGGTTTACATGCAAAAATTAATTAACCTAAAACGTGAAATTTCTTTAACAAGGTTTTCACTTTTAAATATATCGTAAAGTTGAATGCCACTTTCTCAGCTGAATGATGATTGAATAACAGACAAATAGGGAAAATGCAGGATTTCAAGATTTTAACCCTGTGTTTAAATTTTAACTCGTCGATTTCGGCGAGTTAAATATTTAACCAGAGGGTTAAATATTTAACCTCGCGGTTAAAGTTCAGGTTTAAATTAAGTCAGAAGTGGCATTTAACCATGAACTTAAAATTTAAGTCAAAACTTTTCGTTCTTTAGTTTTAGACTCTGAACTGCAGGTTTGACTTCCCATGACGTCATTTGCTATCATCAAAAACAATTTCTTAGATTGCCATTGTTTTTTTAAGCATAATAAGATTTAATTCAAATATTCAACTTAAATATTTCTCTTTTAAAACCTTTCAAAACAAAGGAATTGAGTCTTTGCCACAAACTCTGATTTTCTAATCAGTATATCTACTTAATCCAATGTCATAGACCTTAGATATTTCAAAAATATAATTTCTGTTATATCAAACAGTCTAAGTTTGAAATATCAAAAGATTACACAATCAAATTGCAAAGATATATGGAGTAGATACTTTGAGTTTGTGACACAGACTCATTTCCTTTCTCTGAGCCCACCATATTTGAAGTGACAAAAAATCAAAATGAGGGATTATTTCTAGAAAAAACTTTTCAGTTTCATTCTGCAAACTATCTTATTTTATCTAAAATAAACAAAAGAAAACAATTTATTTGAAAAATGGATTTTATTCTAAAAGTGGATTTATTTAAAATTAGGAATGGATTTAGCTGAGCTTGTATTTTAAATGTTGGATCATTTATTCATTTCTTTAAACATTTAATCTTTTCAACTTTTTTCTTCAAGTTGAATAAAATTAGTTCAAGTATTACCACAATTTAATAAATTACTGTTTACACTTTATTTGATTAAAAGCATAAAAAATGTGAAGAGTATAAGGAACAATTTATTTCTGTTGTCTACAAAAATATATCCATTATTTAATTATTCCAAATATGTCAAATAATGAATTTTAAGGTTGCCCTGGGGTGTTTTTGATTCAGGTTGAATATTAATCAAATTTGTCAACAAAAAATTAAATTCCAAAAATAAAATTTTTTTAATCAGCCATAAGAGGCGCTCCAATCAAGGAATTATGAAAATACTTGTTAGACTTTGCGACATTATAGTTCCTCTACTTATAATTTTATGCTCAAATATTCATTAGTTGCATAAAAGTAATGAAAAATAAATTATGTTGAAATACATTGTAACTTTTTGTAGGGTGGCTTTGTTTTAAGTACACCAATTTGACAAGTGCATTTTGTACACAATTCTATTTAATTATTTTAAAACTAAAAGTTTCTTGTGAAAAGTAAAATTAATCTATAAAATCTATTTTTAATGCACAAAGGTATTGATTTATGCATTTAAATTTCTAATGTCAAATTTATTAACAATTATGTTAAAAATCTGAAGAAAAATCTAACCTAAATTTGTCTGAATGACATTAGTTTTTGCTAAAAACTCTAATATTATGTTGGATCAAATAATCTAAGCCTGAAATATCAAAGGGTTACACCTTTTGGGTTTGGGGCAAAAACTCAGTTTTTTTTTGGTTCTATTTTAGTTCTATCTTGATCCTAACTTTTCTCCTAGTTTGTTTAGGACATTTATGTTTAAAAGAAGAAACGGTTTTTATGACAGGATTCGATATTGTTTATTTTAGGGTGGGGGGGGGGGGAAGGAGAAAATGAAATTTCACTTTTACACAATTTGTTAACTTGTACACTTTCATGAATTTAATTTGATCTATAGTTTAAGCCAATGAGTTTACGTTAATGTAAAATTTAAAATTACTTATTCAAAGTATTTTGTTCAAGATTTCTGATTTACAAAATTGGTTTAAAAATTTTTTTTTAATAGAGGTTATCTCTTTGATAGCTTAAAATGATATAATGAATGATGAATGAATAAAAATCATTAAATACATATAGAAAACTACAAAAAAAAGTTATTTAAAGAATGAACAAAACTATAAAAATAGATAGATAGATGGATTCCCTTCCTTTCTTGAAGTTTTCCATCAATCTCAATTATCATAGGATAGCATGATGAATGTAAGGCAATATAATAATATCTTATGAGTTCAAATAGACACCCCTCAGACGAATCACAGAATAATTGAATCACAGTAAAATTTTATTTTTGCAGTTATATTTGTATTATTCTAATTTTTGATGTTCATCACTTAAAAGAATATGTAGTCCAAAGAAAAATTGTAACAAGAATATTGAATTGTCCACAAATGGTTAAAAATGGCAAAATGTTTTCTAAGTCAGGTCAAAAAATAATCTTACGTTCTAAAATAATTTGGTTTAACACCAAGGATTGAAGT